CCTTACCAGGTCTCTGGGTTTTCCTTCCTCGAATCGTTGTTCCTCTGCAAGTGCACGGATCGCTGCTGGGTTTGTCTTTCTTATGAATTTAACCGCAAAAGACGGTGGCAGAATTGTTATTCGCGCAGCTGAACAAACGAAAAGGACACGCTTCTTTTAACTCAAACACTTTATTTGTCATTGATTAGAAAGGAACTTATTGTGCAATTCAGAAAAGATTAAAAACCATGTCAATAAAACAATAAAGAAAATTGAACAAATGCAATGTAAGAGAATTATTATTTTCGAAAAAGAGACCCGAAAAGGGTAATTATTAGCGAAAATGAGATGAAATTAGAATTAGTTTCGTAAAAGTTTACTTTAGGGAACAGATTATGTGCATTTGGAGGGGCTATATACGCTTATTATGTTTTCATTTCCTGTTACAAAAGCTAATTTTCCGAGATCAGCGCAAATATAATAAGAACGTTTTCATCCTTGGTTATAGAGTATTGAGATTTTACGATGTTCTCTTTAATAAGAAAGTAAAAAGCGCTTTACTAGAATTGATATAAATTATGAAAGAAAGAAAAAAGATTGAAAAAGAAATTGAAAATTTAACAAACGCCAAAGAGGTAAACGTTCCTCCGAAAGGCTTCAGTCAAATCTTGCCAGTTTTGACGAATTAATCATAACGATGGCGAAATTCGAGGATAAAATGTTCTATTTCGGTGAAGTGAGCACTCAAAATACGTTACTTCATTTCCACAAAGTTATCCTAAATAGTTTTTAGCCATTCACAGAGTTCTAAGATTCTGGTTACTTTTTATAAAAGGAGAAGTTTGTGGAATGATTTTATAAAAGGTAAGAAGGGAAGCAATTTCTTTTGTTTGCAATACGGAATGATCGAATGCATAAATCTACAAAAAGGCTGTTTACGAAAGGAGGGTGTATTTTTGTGTTAAAACATTGGTCCTTTCCTTCTTATCTGGACCATTACTTAAAAACAATGTCATATAACAATTACAATGGTTCTTAACAACTTCATTTCTTAACTTTTACATGGTCTTGCAAAGATTTTATTTGAAATTCACAAAAATAGATCGACCTTGAACAGTACAAACACCAGCAAAGCTACAGCAGAGTGTTGCTTAGCAACTTTCTCTTCATTGGCCATGGCCATACTCAAACGTTTCGGCCAGACTTAAAACTAGAATCATTTTGTAAAACCTAGTGCAGTATAATAGACAAGTACTGCTCAGTAGCTTCCATTTCACGGTGCCTCTGTGCAAATAGGCAAGGTAGTTAAGCAATGGAAGAAAAACAAAATGAATAAATAAATAAAAATTAAGTTACAAACTGAGCCGTTTTTCTCGCGCGTCTAACAATCACCGAGTCAACAACTTGATTAATTATTCAAAATGGCGATCATAAGCAAAAAAACAAAAAGCGTCAAGCAAAGACATTTTCTTTAAGTTCTGTTCAGATGTATTTGCGAGACACAACAAAACTACAAAGTAGCAGGTACGCATTCCATTTAATAACTATTTTTGAGAGCATTTATGATTCACTTATAAAAATAATGTTGGATAATAGAACTACACACCATTAAAAGACGGTTTCACAAACTTGGGACTATTCTCAAAGACTCGTGTTGACAGGTAAAGGGAACCCTGGTCAGTTTGAAACAACAAACGACGAAAAGAGAGACAAGATTTGATAACGTTCCCAAGCAGCCACCAAATGGGTTCCTTGCGGCCGCGTGGGAAGTTCTTTGAAGTTAGGAAAGGAACAAATGACGTCAAAACTATTCTAGCCTTCTCCGCACGCGTTCCTTCACCAAGAACTGCGTGACGAGCCAAAAGAACGTCTGCGTTGAAGGCTAAAATTATTTGAGATAACTTATCCAAAAACGCATTTAAAACTTTCAATCCTTTCCTAAGTCTTTTGTAAAAACTCAAGAATTAAACTAGCATGGCCGATTCTGGCCAAAAACGATAGCCAAGCGGCCTGTTTGGAGCAACAAAGGAAGCCATCTTGATCAGGTGGTGGGTGGTTTTAATTTTTTATGTTCACCCACAAATAAACACCTTCGAGCAATTTTGGTCGCTGGTTTGGTTAAAGTCGTTCCCTACCAGTTGTAGTTGTTACTATCCACTCGGGTGTGATCGTGTTTCTCACACTGTGCGAGGTGCGCAACCCACGCAAATCTGAGGAAGGGTTGTACGCAAGTTTAACAGCTTAAGCTCGTTTTTGCTATCATCTTTGCGCCGAAGTTTTATCGAAAACAACTTTAAGATTCACTTCTGTTCCATCATCGGGGGTTTTGCTTTCTTTATTGACGGTAAAAACCAGTCTATCAACTGAATTGTAAATAATAAGCACAGGAAAACAAATGCTGTTATAATCAATGCCGGTTTGCTACGACGATGAGACGAAAGGGTTATAGTCTCGTTTGCATTCCTTTATGAGCTAAAGAATATTTGACTGCTGGATCAACCGGAATAACAGCCTGGACAATTTTGTAAAAAATAACCCATTCAGACCGCTTGTTCAGCCTCACTGGTGTTATCTGTGGTTAGAATGACCAAGGACACCCCTTAATGTACATTAGGAAGTTAAAATTATTAATTACAATAAAAAGTAGCTCACAAACTACTTTTTGCGGCAGGCCATCAAACATCAAACGATATATTAGTTTTTGGTCTACGTAAACGTGAAGGTTCGGGGAGAATGAGAAATAATATAATTCTTATAAATATGGGCTATACAAAAATGTAATTAAAACTAACTCCACTCCAGCAACCTTCACGCGTTCATTATATTCGACCTTATGTTACAGCACCGTACTGTGGCCAATTCTGGCATTAAGGCTTTAAACAATAACCCTGAGGTTATCATTGCCCCACAAAAAAATACCCAGGTTTGGATTCAAGAGGGAGAGAGAGAAAAAGCAAAAGAGGTGAACCGGTGGGGAAGAAAGAAAAAATTGACAGTGGAATAAACACATCCAACGTTAACTAACCACTGTTTACCTTAAATGATATTCATTAACAGACAAGAGGGCTGCCACTAAGGGAAAAGCAACCCACTTATTTGATTTGGCTAGAAATACGTTAAAAGTCCCATCTACATCCGTCTTGGTGATATTTTAAAAGTAAGACAAGCAGCACGGAACGGTAGTTGTGTTTCACTGCTTTTTTCTTGGTTAAATACCATTGGAATGTGTCTCCTGTTAGGATGGATTTCCACTGTCGCGTAATTTTTACGTGTGTACGTACGTAAATTTTAATCACGTAAATAAAATAGAGGCAGTGTAAGAAAGCCGCGCAAACAAAAAAATTGAGCGAGGTGCAAATTTACTTTTGCGCGCAAACTTCCATAAATTGCCTCTATTTTATTAACGCGCGCACGTACGTAAAAAGGGCGCGACAGTGGAAATACACCTTTAAGTGATTTCCACTGACGCGTTTTTGACTACGCACGTTAACGCACGTAAATTTTAATTACGTAAATAAAATAGAGGCAAGATAAAAAGTGCTGAGCTCAAACGAGAAGTGAGCAGGTTCAACTTTTACGCTGACGAGCGACCCTTCAAGCATTGCCTCTATTCTATTTGCGAACGTTAATTTTACGCACGTACGCACGTCAAAATTACGCGACACTAAAAATCAACCCTTAGGCAGTTAAATGACTTCCACTGTTCAAACAACGACAGATATTTAAGGTTATAATAACATGACTTAAAATATATCTGTACACAAGCTGGTATGACGCATATTTTCTCTTCCTGTAGTTGATCAATATCGACCTTGAATAATATACATTACAGACCAATAGTCGCCCTTCCCCCAATTCATAACTTCGGAGTATCAAGTTGTCAGTTGACAGGTAAAAAAAGCCCGGTTACTAAGGGCCTCTTCACATGAGCCCGATCGAACGAGCTGGCCCGATTTCCGAGATCTCGCCTTACCTCTAAACCCTTTGTAAAATTTTTGATGGGTTCATATGAAAGGGCGGGTTGGCTCAGTTCCCTAGATCTCGGGTTTCCAACCGGGACCTCGTTAAGCGGACTGGAAAATTTTTCCGCATGAACACTTCCGCCCGGTTACCGGGAATGAAGGCAGGATGAATTCTTCGCAACAGCGCATGCGTCACATGGTCGATAGCGTAGCCAGAACTCGTTCCCAGGATCTTCGGCCTTTTTTAATCTCAGAAACCGGGGTTAAATTTTTCATGTGAACCCAAGTCGAAATTGGTCCCAGTAACCGGGCTCATGTGAAGAGGACCTTGAGTTTTTCTCACTTAAAATTTGTTACGAAAAAACTTGCCTCATTTACCAGATTCAGGACCGGAAGCGCGCTTTGAGTCACGTGACTGTACGTCGGTTAGTTACGCATAATTAATTATTACTTCAGACTCTTACGGTACAAAAACATTTTCAACCATGTTACTTCGCGTATTTTCGACTTGTTTCGCGAGAGGCCACGAAACAGATGCAATGATAATTTATAAGTTACATCAGCATTGAATTCAAGAGAGGAAGTAACTGCGACGAATGCCATTTGCATGAGTCTTTGTTACGTATCCCTGCAAAAGAAAAACAACCAAAAAAATTAAGTGTTCAAGGAATTTCTCCACTGCAACAGAAAAAACAGTTCACGTTGTTTTACAATGAATTTGTAATTTCCCTAGTAAACTGTTAATATTTTTAATCCTTTCTTCCAAGAAGTAAATGATAGTTTTCCAAACATCTGGAGTAGTGGTTGGTTTTGTATATCGCTCCTTGTAAGGTACTCCCAGACAGTCTTGGATTCTGGTTTCTTTGTCAGTGAAAACTGCACACCGGGTTCCCATCGGGATTCCGGATTTAGCCTGCCAGCAATGAGCTCTCCGGGGCGCTCTGGCGGCGGGGCGTTTGATGTAACAGTGCCTTTACTCAACCGCCACTGTTCCACCGAAAATCTTTTTGCCGGGAAGAGAAATTAGCCAGACGAGAGGATTGATTAATAAAAAAGCAATTACCTTGAACCCACGGCGGCTGTTTGTTGCGTTCTGTTTGGGGTGGAACGACGGCTTGAAGCTTGTCTCTGTCGCGCTAAAAATGACACCCCTCCTGTATTTCCAGATAATCTTTCCTCAGCAGCTTTTCTGTGAAGCTGCATGCCCTGAAATAATATGACACGCTGCTCAGGATCAATGCGACTAAACACATCAGGAAAATATAGAGGTTTATCTTCCTTTTTCTCCCCAACCGCGCCCTCCAAGTGGAGCCCACACCGGCCCCACCCTCGACGGGGAGCCCACACCAGCCCCGCCCTCTGAGTGGAGCCCACACCAACCCTGCCCTCCAAGTGAAGCCCACACCAACCCCGCCCTCCAAGTGGAGCCCACACCAACCCCGCTCTCCAAGTGAAGCCCACACCAACTCCACCCCTCCAAGTGGAGCCCACACCAGCCCCGCCCTCTGAGTGGAGCCCACACCAACCCCGCCCTCCAAGTGGAGCCCACAACAGCCCCGCCCTCTGAGTAGAGCCCACACCAAGCCCTCTCTCCAAGTGAAGCCCACGCCAACCCCACCCCTCCAAGTGGAGCTCACACCAACCCCACCCTCCAAGTGGAGCCCACACCAACCCCGCCCTCCGAGTGGAGCCCTCAGTTCGCCAAACGAATGAAGACTCAAACTCCGGCGTTGTGTTTAAAACTTCAAAAGATAACACGCGTTCACTCACCATTTCATACCACGCACTAACAATAAGTTTTTCTTCTCGTTCCCTTGTTATTTTCATCTTTTCGTGATCTCGCTAAAGCAACAACACAACAGGGCAGAAAAATAAAAATCAGAAACGAATATCAAAGAAAAACGTTTCGACATCGTTAAAAAGTTCACCACTTACCTCCAGATGTTCTATAATTTTGTCTTTTTCTTGCACTTGATTTTTTAGCAATTGAATCTGACGGAAGAAGAAACACATCAATATCTATTTCTTGCGGCTGTCATTTGTCGTGCACAGCGAATAAATGTTGTCACTGGATTATGGAAAATATCACGATCTGGACTGATCGGGGTTTACCACTTGGAAAAAATTGTCCCTTAACGACCCTTGGAGCTCACGTTGCTAAATTAAGTTTAACAACTACATCGCTCAGTAGAGCTCGGTTAGGTAGAGTTACTCCTTTATGGATGTCCCCTAAGACACCAGAGACCAATCAACAACTACAATGACTTATCAGTGGAGAAAAATAAAAGGAGGGAGGGGTGGGGGTAAACTCAAGTTCCAAAGGCTAAACGAAGCTCAGTGGTCGCCACGAACGTGGTAGCAGATGCAAGCTCTAAGATGCGGACCAAGACAGTCGTTCTTGTCTACACTGTCTTCTTCGGGACAGTGAAATGGATAGGAGATCGTGATAACTGCGGATTTGAAAACAATTTTTTTTAACTGTAAGATAATCATGTTACCTCCGGCTGAGAGCCTTGATTTTGTTTGGGATCCAGCGTTTTTATAACCTGAAATGAAGGAAAAAAGAACTATATACACGCGACTTACATGGGAGGTTTTACCTAAGATGACACCACGACATGAGGTCATTTCTGAGTTGCCTCAAGCCTCGTTTTCAAAGAGAGGAAGCCATTGACATGAAAATGATTGATTTTTTATTCTCTTGCAAATAATTAACAATTATTGGACGAGGTTGAGCAAAATATCGTGATTTGTCAGTGGCGAGCAGATCAATTATTTGCCGAAGCCGAAGGCTGAGGCAAATAATAGATCTGCGAGACACTGACAAATCACGATATTTTGCGATAACCGAGATCAATAATTGTTTTATCATTCGATCACCGAGTTTGTTTTTTTAATGAATATCCTCGGGAAGCGAAGCGATCAGCCATTTTCACGCAAGAGCGCTCGCAAGAAGGAGAAAAGCACGGTTTCCTTTACGGATGTGCAAAATATTATTTGCAGCCAAACACAGTTGGACGGCATTGCGGATGAGCAGACCAATATTTGTACGCAGTTATTTGCAGGTCACGTCGTAGGCTCTCGGCCAATGAAAAGAAAGAAAAATTAGCTTCGACTGATAAAACTCATTATCACAAGAAGTTTTGCACTTGGCCTTGTGTTGACATTGAGGGTTTTCATGTGAAACTCAGAAATGGCCTATTACTGTATAAGCAAGTCTCGAAGTTTTGGCTATGTTTAAAGAACTCTTTAACATTTGGTTTTCAGCCACATTGAGTGTAAAGTTGGTAATTGACTGAAGACGCGAAGTGCACTTCCACTATAAAAAAGGCATTGACATTTTCACAATATTCAGGTCAGTTTCACTGTATTATTCATAACGACCGTACAATACGTTGATAGTATCATGCTGACTAAACTGAGGCCCATAAATATTTACTCACACTTTTAGCCTTTTCCAGATATTTCTTATAGCGATCCTCCATCACTTTCATCTCTTGGTCTTTTTTGTTCAATAGTTCTTGAAGCTCATTCACTTTTTCCGCTAAAAAAAATACGGCACCCAGATAAACAACTACACTAAAATATTGTGTATAAATACAGAGAAACTGGGTTATACGTTTCTGGGAAACTGCCCACCTACCCCTCCCCTAAGCCAATATTTTGCCGTAAGTAAGAGGTAAGTGCTTTGTTGGGAGGGGTAGGCGGGCAGTTTCCCAGAAACGCATAATAATCCTCCAATTCTTCTTTACAAAACGGTTCATCAATCCAGTTCACTCACTCGTGCTAGAGACTTTGGGTTCTAAACTTTCAATGTACGTCTTCTTCTTCTGTAATTCTTCATTGGCTACTCTAAGTTTGTCCCTGCAAGATATGAGAAACATTTTATTAAAAAATCTTGACGCAGAAGTCCAGGGCGACTGGGACAAAGTCTTCCTCCCGCCGCCGAATTTCCGGTTCGGCGGTAAATGGAACACGTTTCGTCGGCTCGTCCCACTGGAAAATTCCCAGAAAAAGTAGAAAATCTAAAAAGGTGGTCCCGTTTTCGGTTGAGAATGGGCCGAACGGAATGTCGTGTTCCATTTACGTTTCTCGTAGTTTGTACCAGTTCCAGGTCCACGGTCGGGCACCGCCACGTACCGGGGTTTACGACCAAATGGAACAACTTTTTACCAATCGGAAATTCCACTTTTGCTACCACCGAAAGTTCCGGGTTTTTTTCCTTAATGGAAAGCGCCCAAAGTCTTCCTCCCGCCGCCCTTTTTGGTGTCAACAAAAGCTGACTAAAAATCCTGTTAAATCAGCCATTCTAACTTCTCTCTTGAGACTGGGTCGATGTTAAGTCGAATAATCCATTTCCAAGTTCCCCCTCGGGAAGGGAAACACTAGGGATATGCGTTTCCCCTATCCGGGAACATATAGTGAAATGTGTTCCCAGGTAGAAGAAACACATCTCCCTAGTGATATGTGTTCCCGGGTAAGGGAAACACATATCCCTGCTGATATGTGTTCCCAGGTAGGGAAAACACATATCCCTGCTGATATGTGTTCCCAGATAGGGGAAACACATATCCCTAGTGATACGTATTCTTAGGTAGGGGACACACATATCCCTAGTGAAAAAACTGTAGCGAATGTTGAAAGTGGTATCAAGGATGGTTTTGAAGAAATGGAACACGAACGGAATTTCCGTTTGAAACATTACGACTGTTTTGACAGGACTACATTTTCAGACGTTTCGTTGCTTCTGAAATTAGGGAGCTTAAGCGAAGACGTTTTTGAGCCATGCACGTCAACCGGAAGTGTAGTCTGCTACACAGCCGTTTTTAGTGTCGTCAAGCAACGCTCCTCCCAAGCGTTGCGTGACGACACTAAAAACGGCTGTGTAGCAGACTACCGGAAGTGAGGCCTTCTCGCTTTTTATCTGCCTTGAAGCTGACAAATTTGCATTGCTAAGTTCCTTTTCTCTTATAAAGAGGATTTACCCGAGAGTTTGAACCAAACCACTCCCCAATGATGGAAAAAGTCCACTTCCGGTTGACGCCCGTCGCTCAAAAACGCTGTTGCTTAAGCTTCCTATTATCCACTGAAACGACCCGAAAAGTCGTGCCCCATTTACTTTCCACCCTTTTTTTTTTCTGGTAACTTTTTGTAAATGGTAAACAACCCATGTACAATAGACAAAGAAAAAGCCCTTTTGCCAAAAGGCCAGGCTAAGTGGACTGTACTTACAAATGATCTGTATACTTTCTCCCCAGTTCACTGTCAGTGTCCATCTCACCCGCGCTCTTCTGATTACGTACGTCATCCAGCTCGCTTTCGGCTTCCATTAGCTTTTGATTCAACTCTCTGTTGACAAAATAAATTGCGCCATTTTCTTATGTCAGCAAATACTATTTTGTAATGTTGTTTACAATAAGAGCCGTAGTGCAATGCAAACCGAATTGGCTATTTTATGTCAACACAGAGATTTAAAGTCTCGTTTATGGCAAAATTTGCCATGTCAGATTTAATGTCAGATTCAAGCTGAGAATTTCTCAAAATAGAAAAAAAAAAAATGAAAACAGCTCAAAACAGTTCTTACGGACAAAAATAACGTGAAACAACTAATTTTTGAGTAGAAGTAATGAACAGTAAACGACAAGTGAAGGGAAAACTTGGTCACGTGGTAAACATTCACGTTTGCCGTAGACGTGTCTCTAAATCTCTATTATCATGCTTTTAAGGCACAGTTCATAATTTAATGTAATGGTTAAAATAAGAAAATTTGATCTCTTATGCGAGCGACTTTGACTTCCTATTTGTTAGCAATCATGGTGCATAACCATGATATTAAAAAGTTCTACATCAGGTATTCAGTTCACTTTACCGTCTTAAACTAACCATTTGAGGGCCATTTTAATCGTGTTTACATTGACGAATTAGTACGTTTTATCTTTCTAATTCGTAAACAATCTGCAGCTAAAGCAAGTGTTTCTCTTGAGTTGACAGTCGCGTGCGGTTTTCTAGGTGATTTGGAAATCGAGTAATGAAATTGTCATTGTGTATGAGCTGCGACGAGCTCTGGAGAAGAAAACTGCTAAAAAATATTAGTTTTCTGGATAGAACATAGGTGTTAACAATTTCAAACACTCAGAAAAATCTTTTGTCACCTGTTTTCTCTTTCTAACTGGTCTTTCCTTTCATTTGCGTCATTTAGTAAACTCTGAAGAAGCTGATTCTGTTGAAAAAGAAAAAGACAAACTCGTTAACAAAATTAAAATATGCATGCACGGTAGTTCCGTTTTGCAGCTCTCGTATCCTCAAAAAGAGACCGGCAAGTCTTACATTGAGTTCCCTCATTGTCCAGCAATAGCCTTGCACGACAGCTTGTTGTTATATTGGCCTTAAAATGACTGAGTTGTCCAGAACATGCCGCGCACGAAGTCTTTTGGATCATGCCCTCTCACTAGAGACCTTTAGATTCTAAGACGAGTACGACTACGACTACGACTACGAGATTTTCTCAATACTGTGAAGTGCACACACGTGAACTAGTGTCATTTTGGCGGGAAAATGTGGCAGCCGTCGTCACTCTGCTACGAGTTTTAGCGAGAAAGTCGCAGTGACAGACACAAGTTACCAAAATGTTAGTAGTTTTACCTTTTTGCGATGGGGGGAGGGTATAACCTCCTTCACTAAAGGTAACAGTGCTAACTTTGCTAGTGAAAAATGGTAAAATGAAGCTTTTCTGGAAGTCTCTATTTTGAGAATACGCGAAAAAACTTTCAGTCAAATCTCGGACTCGTAGTCGTCCTCATCCTTGATTCTAAGGGGCCGACCATTTAACTCTTAAGGGGTGGGGTTGGTGATTTCTGGTCATCAAGAATTTTTTTTCTAGCAATCTGGGGGGCAGGATATTTTTTTCCCTTTTTTTCCCATAAGTCGTCCATTTAGGCATGCATTTTTTTTTTCTTCCGACAAGCGCCAGGAAATTTTTTTCAAAATCATCAAGGTTAAATGGTCGGCCCTAAAGGTCTCTACTGCCATTGCCACGGTTACGAAATCTCTCGGCTAACAACTGTGTAATGTTCAGAAAAATTGACTTGCAGTGCAAGTAGTGTACCTGCTCTTCTTGTTCGCCAAGTTTCTGCTCCTTAAGCTTCTTGTTTTCATGTTCTAAACGAAGGATGCGTTCCCTGTGATTAAATATAACTGAAAATTATTTCGTTGAACCAAAAAAAAAGATTATTGGTAAAAATGCTTCAACGTCCGTCCTGTTCGTAAACAAAGCATTACAGTCTTGCTACATGTACATACTTCACTTCAGGAGACAGAGAGCCAGCAAGATCAAAATCATCACTTGGAGGAGAACCAGGCGATAGATGACGCATTGGAGATCCTATAAACAAGTAAACAAAACTGTTACATAAAACACTCACGGAATGGAGCAAATAGGAAAGAGGTGGAGATTTCAGATTACCTGCTACTTGAGCTAGCTGTAATTCCTCATTTTCTTCTCTTAACTTTACTCTTTCCTGTCTTAAACGCTTAAAACAAAAGAGATCGATAACGTAAGTTAACAAAGTAGGCTATTACACCCTCGATTCAAATAAAAATTCTTTTAGGGTTGGGATTTCCTGATCCTGGAAAATGTCCACATCCCTCCCATGTAAAGCTTTTGGAATTCTCAGGGAGCAGACCACGAAGCTCTGGCCTCAGTTGTTCAAAAGGTAGATGCCGCTATCCACAGGATAAATTTCTATCCCGTCAAAACGTCATGCAAAAAGTGGATTTGCACTGTTTCAAACTTCATCGATCTTATTTAGTGTCATTTAATTTGCCAAATGTTGGTGAAATTTTCTGGGTTGAATCCATAAGGACCGTATCTAGGTTTACAAAAAGAAACAGAACTTTTTGTGCTGTGCTCACCTACTCGATAAAGCGGGCGAATCAAATTGGGACGTTTCATGTCGCAGTCGTGCAACAACGGCTAATAAATGTACAAAAAAGCGTCACGCACGCGTAAAGTTGTTCTTTTGCCAATCTAAACCTATTGCTCTTTTGCTGTTGCAAAAATTCCCTATTGTCGTGATCCAGAAATGTTGCTACTATGGTAACGTGACGTCACACTTCTCCTCTCTATTGGTTTTCCTAATACTTATCCGCTGGATAGTGATTAATCCGGTAGGTAGCACTCTCCAAGGTTTGAACAACCAAGACCTGATGGTTCTGGATGGGATTGTGGAGGGTAACGAAAAAGACTTATCGGGGTGTAGGAAGGATGTTTTATTCATGTTAAACAATAGTTTGCAGGAATGATCGGTGATTTTGTTAGAAATAGTTAGTCCTGGGATTCATCTTGTGAAAAAACTGGAGTCCCAGTCCAGAACCATTAAGACTCAGTTCAAAAAACAACGAGTTCGAAACTGAAAAAGCTTGGGTCTTTATGTGACCAGGCAGCTACTGAATCTGAAGACAGACTCCAAAACTCTTAATCACAGTTTACTGCAATTAAAATGTAGTCCTCCTATTGAAACAACAAAAATGAGGGGACTAAGATAAATACTGTACGCATCGTTAAACAACAACCACATTTAACAGCCACAGAAATCATACGGACAGGATTTTCTACAAAAGCATCTTCAGATCGATCGATCTTTGCGTCCTACGGGACGCAACCGTTGAATTACGTCGCGTCTTTGGGGACTTTTATGCGTCAGGGACACAGGACGCAGAGGTAACAAAATCACTGAATAACGCAGAATTTCTTTTCATTAATTCAAAATCACAAAGTTTGGTAAGAAGTGACAAAGACTTACTTCATTTTCCGCTTCAAAGTTTGTAAGCTTTTCTTTTGATTTCTTAGCTTCAAACTCTGCCTGCATATGAAAGCACCATATTCATGTAAGCACATATAAAAAGGGCACGAAACGTTTCAAATAATACATAAAACGTAATAATACTTGAAAATAGATAGGTTACAAAAAACATGTTTCAACCTTAGTGCAGCCTTTAGGAAAACAACAAAAACAACAAAGGCAACAAAAAAATTTTGGGGTCAAGAAATGTCATTGATTATGCCAAATATAAATTCAATAAAACTGGCAGAATGCACACTACGACTGCTGCAATCATTCAAGTGCCTAGTTCTTAATTATTAAGTCCGGTGTTCACTCTGTGTAGACTTATACACAGTTTACATACCTTGTCTGCCCGTCTTTGCAAATCTGAAACTTGTACCTGTAACTGATGAACCTGATAAGAAAGTGAAATACAGTATGCATTGCTTAAAGCGATATTCATGGTTAACAATATTAGAGAAAAAACATAATACAAAAAAGTACTCAATAAAGACTGCAAACTGTTAACTTACCTGCTTTTTGTACGTGTCTACTTGAGATTTAAGAGAATTGGCTTTCCGAAGATCCTGTAAAAAAGTGGTACATACTATTTGATAAAACGTAAAGTACATTGAGACATTATAGTGCGTATTTTAGAGAATAGAAGGCATCAGGATTAGTTCAGTCGGTAAAGAGCTAGACAGCTAAGAAGGAGGTTGTGTGTTCGAATCCAGAGGCAGGGCCAATTTTCAGGGTCTCAAAATAACCTAGTAATGAAGGTACTGCCTTCGCCCCACAAATGGCTAGACCTTCACCTGGCTCGGATGACCATTCTGATGCTCTAGGCATCAATGATAAATGTACGAGAACCATGTACCAAACCCAGAAAGCAGCTGTGATGATGTTTGCAAAAGATTAGAGCGAGCTGGGGAGAGAGGAGAAGTCGTCACGTTGCCAAGGTAGCAAAATTTCTAGATTTCAACAAACTGTGGTCCTGCAAATATGGCATTGAACTCAGGAAAAAAAGGAAAAACTGTTCGACAATGCAAATGGCTGTTTTTAGGGTGCATCATTGAAAACTTATGGGGCTGGAACAACAGTAGAAAATGCTTTTCAAGGGAAAATTCCATTGAAAAAAAAAAATGCAAATTGCCCTAAAAAATATTCATGCTATGGTCTCAAAAAAATTCATACAAAGATTTTTGAGATAAAGAAAAAAAATTTTGCTACCATGGTAAAATTGATGTCACCACCCCATAATTACCTAATGGTCTTTGTCCCATTCTTATTTTTGGGAAAGATAAATTGACGGACAGCTAAATATAAAAGGATGAAATACAGTATATGTTGATGAAAAAATTGAGTAAGTTGTCAATGAACAGTGGAAATATAAATATAGTCAAACATAATAGAGGATCAACGTTATAGGAAAAGTCAATAGTTGATGGAAGAATTTAGTAAGTTGTCAGTGAACAGTGGAAATATAATTATTTATAATCAAACATAATAGAGGACCACATTGTATAAGCAAAGTCAATATATGTGTGTAGCATTTTGGTTAAATTACAAAATATCTACCTCCTGTAAATTCATGGTTTCCTTCATGTAAGTCACATTTTTCTCTTCCAATGCCTTCATCTGCTTTCTCATGTCAGACAACTCCTCTGAAAAATCAAAGCTGGTCTTTAAGATATTTAACACACAAAAGTTTTTTTTAAATTCAGAGTAAAGGCTCAGCAAACAGAAATGGAGATTGTAAAGCAAAAAAAAACCTTGGTTACTTAAATTTATAATTTCATAAAAGCAGAAAAACAACAGTAAATTGTTCTATTCCTTACCTAATTTCTTCTTGTAAAGTTCTATTGTGGACTCATATTTTATCTGATAAAAAGACAAATTTAATCTAATCAGTGCATTCTTAAATAAAAAAAAAGAGAAACAACCAAGTACTAGAACCATAAAGTAAAATAAATTTAGGCAAAGTTGAGTTCAGGATGCGGCACCAAAGTCCAGCCATAAACTTTTGGAATGGACAAGTTAAGGAAAATCCATCAACATCACTGGAAAAAGAGTCTTAAAATTAGTAAAATTGCCAAAGTGGAATACAGTGTAAGCAGGGCTGTCAAAAAGTTTTTAATTAGCAGGCTGATAAGGCACAAGTTTGTCAGGGCTGAGGCATCTAGGGACATTTTGAAATTTAGAGTCTCAGAAATGCCATTTCCAGGGGTTTTCAAGAGGTTTTTCCACCACGGGCGCCAACTTGTTCCACCAGAATACATTGAGAATACACTAAAGACTGGGAGCAATGCCGTCGAAATGTCGCAGGTGTTCCACGACATTGCATGGTTCGAACATTTCACAGATCTAAACCTGTTTTTAAAAACATACGTTCAATGTCATTAAAAACTGGCAAACAGTGGTGCTTATTTTTTGTTCGCAGTTATGGTAGAAGGAGATGAAAGTAGCTGGCTAAGGATGGCTAACTAGCAGGTGGTTTTGGCCAGCTACCGGCCCTTATTGACAGTCCTGAGTGTAAGACCCTCTTTCCACTGGTGTCAACAGATTTTCCCAAATTGGTACATAGAAGGGCCTATTTTGCTTATGGGCAAAGGTTAACAAAGGCATAGAGGTTGAGTGCTTTCCATAATGGCACATGGTTCGTACAACTTTGGACAAACAAATTTCAACTACTTTTCAAGGATTTTTCAAGGAAAATTTACAGTTTTCAAAGACTAAGATTTTTTTTAGTAAATTGGCATTTGACCCTATTGGTTAAAACACCTCATGGAGTCATTTATGATTTTTACTTCAGCCATCGTTCATCACATTATTTTATACTACTTTCTGCAACAAGACTTTGCAAAATGACTAGGTATGACTTGCAATTGCATATCAGGTACAGAAATAGCATTTGAAATAAAATAATGTTCATGTACAAAAATGTTTTTACGTTAAATGTGAGTTTTACAGGTTCTTACAACGACAATGAGCTAAATTTTCCTCAGCAAAATAATCTCACTTTACAGAAAAAGGTGACTGGAGTAGACAAGGTTGTGAATTTCCAGGAATTTTCAAGACCTTATAAGAAATAAACTACTTTTCAAGGACCTAAACCCAATTCAAGGACTTTTCAAGACGACTAGTAAAATTCAAGACCTTTTCAAGATTGTACATGTACGAACGATGATGGCAGACCAAAATAAAAGTGACCGGGAATCAAGGTCAAATGGAACGAGATTGTTTGATTCAAAGAACCTTACAACTGGACCAAAACATTTCAATTGCATTTTTTGACTAAATTTTTGTCTTCTTACTGATGCTTAAGCAAAACGAAAATTTTGGAAAATGGAATGGTAAGTGTTTGTCAGACCAGACTCAGATCAGTGAACGAGGACCACCTTTCAGCTGGAACACTTTTTTAACATGGAAATACACGTACCCTTGCCCTTAATTTTAGGAAAATCATTTAAAATAAAATTTCAAAAATTATACAGCTCCTGTACATGTAAGAACGCATGAAGTAACCCAGTACATACCACTTTCTCCTGGGAGTGCCGTAGTACATCCATTTCATCTTTCAGCATCTGTGATTCCTCTGCTAAACTCTGCAGTTGCTCATTCTTCAAAGACAAAAACATTCAGATTTAACAACAGTGAGCAAATACCTCTTCAACTGAAATTTTGGTACAAAAAATAAAGAGGAATATTTTTTAATTCACCATACCCGCTCATTCAGTAGTAAAACATCTCTCTCCATCTGTTCATACTTAATTTTGTACTCATCACGAGCTGAAAGGTGAAATAAGTCATTTAAACATCTCACATTGTTCCATGTCTATGTACATGTATATAGCAGATTGATGAGCTACACAATTAACCCAGCTAGAAAAACTTGTAGGTCTGAGATCTGCATAAAGCACAACCAAGTGTTTGTTCAGTGCAAAGAACTACAGGTACTTAATTGACTGCTTCAGCTCTAAACAAAACATTCAGACAGTATTTCCTTTTTCTTTTCAAGTAAGGTTGGAGGTATGTCATGTAATCATTTATGAAAATAATGAGCAACAGTCTTTTGCTCATACTTACAGGTTTCCAGAGTGAAATTCTCTTCTTTGAGTTTATCAATCTGGTGCTGAAGATGCTGAAGTTTTTGGGTGGAAAAACTAAAACAAAACACAACATGCCAAAATTTCACTGTTTAGAAAGGATAATTTTACTGAAAATCATTTTAAAACAAAACTACAGAGTAAAAATTTTTTGACACCTGGCCCTTATCCCAAACATAATCCTGCAAAACTGACCAGCATTAAAGAAGGAACATTATCATTGTTTTGTACTTAATTTAAAGGATGGATGAACTTAGTTTATTTCAACAGGTACATGTGGCTTCATTAAAAATTTACAGGGTTGACATAACAAGATGGGGCATGGATTATCATAAAGATAGGAATGAACAATATTTTTGTTCAAAGTCTGTTCAGTGAGAGTGTCATTTGAAAAATTAATTATGGCTGCTTAGAATAAAACATTGAAGTCGAGTTAACTGTGTGTAGTGTTCATTAAGGTTTAAAGATTTAACTCTGAAATTCATCCTACTCATTCCTTACCGCTGTGCATCTGAAACCACACCCATATGCTAAATATTTCTGTACTGCATTCTAATTGAATTAAAGTGGGACACCTTGAGAGGCAGCCATTGTGAGGACACAGCAAATGACGCCACTTTAATTTGGGGCAATGTTTTTTTTTTCTTGTTAATGCTTATTAATGAAGTTAAATGCAATTTAACTTAGGTAACAATGAGAAGTGCAGGCACATGTTGTTTGTCAGCGGTGTGTGCAGTGGCTCAAGTGGGGTCAGAATTTGCTTGCGTCATCTCCATGTCTGAAAAAAGCCCCTGGACATCCTGGGCAGCCAGCTCCACTAAGCGACACAGTTGTTAATAGCACAGAATAAGTACATAACACAATCAAAGTCCAACATGAAAACAGAAACAAAATGTCCAGAACAAAAATTCTAACAAAAACAAAGTGAGTACCAGAAGCAGTAAAATTTGTGCACAAAATTTGCTTTTGCTAATAATGTTGTGAATTAATGACAATCAAGGTTCTATATGCCAAATCTATTCAAAAGAAATTAACACAATTTTCTGCTTAAAACTGCCATCTCGTATAAATGGAGGTGGGTGCTTGGGATGTCCAGTGACTTTTTCTTTATTAAGCTAGACCCCTAGATAGCCTTGTGCCCCCATGCCTGGTAAATCTGCATCTCCCAGCCATGGGCAACCAGGCACCTGTCACTGACTAATCAGTGGAGAAGACAATGAGGGGATGCGAAAAATAAAGTCTCGGAGGGAGAGATACATGTAGCAGTAAATGCAAGGTCCAAAGGCTGCCACATTTTGCAGTACCAAGTACACGCAAGCAAGGAAGTACATGCAAGATCCAAAGGCTTAACGAAACTGACTGGCTGCCACATTTTGCTGTACTAAGTACAACATGCAAGCAATGCTAAATGCACCTGTGCCATCAAAGTGACCGACATTAAGCATTGTCACTACTTGCTGAACTGCCTTAAAAGAGTAGGGGGTAAAGGGCATGAACAACAATGATACAGCACCATCAAGGGTTCACTCTAAAAGATGGAACTTGCAGTGTACATGTACCTGACATCATCTCTGTCTCCGATGGAATCCTGTTGACTTAATCTTTCCCTGAGTCGTTCATTCTCCATTTGCAAGCTACCTTCATGTTCTTTGATGAAGGACAACTACATGTACAAACAGAGGAAGGAAAAAAAATCACTGATGTTAAAAAAAAAACAGTGTAATAAGTCTAGTTTGACCAAGGAAAAGGAGTGTTGTAAATTTGACAAAACATGAACTGCATCTTTACTGAATGGCTTAAAAATTGACTCTTTAATCAGGTTTTTAAAATTACTTTCCTAAGAAAATCTTAGTGAAAATTTCTGTCGAGATTCATTAAATATTTTAAATGAGTTTTTATAAAACACACAAGGTTTCTTGGGAGGCTACAAGGTGCTACTTACATCCACTTGAGATTATCTGAATTCCTTTTAGCTATGAAAAAAATCCTTTATTGATTAAGAGAGAGATGTCAAGATGGTACAAAATCGGCCTGTTTTTCTCTTGTTAGTTATAACATGTATAAAGCATTTTTACCTGTTCATCCAATTCATGACATCTCTGGGACAGCTCTTCTTTCTCAGCTGAAATACCGCTCAACTGTTCTAGTGTTCTCTTGTGCTGGTTTAGATTAAAACAGAACATTATATAATTTATTATAGTACATAATTATCACCATAAATTCATATGCAAGGATATGACGGCTGTTTAATATTTAAATGGACAAATGGTGAGAAATATTCAGGACTAGTAAATTTCATTCCAGAATTGCATTTACCGTTTGCACAAATTAGTTCATTTTACTGAAAAACAGCTGCTAAAGCCTGAAACTAGTATCAAAGATGGGAAAATGAATCTCCTTGTTCGGAACATTCTGTCTGGAAAAACAGTGAAACATTTACAGATGTTCCATTGCTCCCAGACATTTTCCACTGGAATGACATGGAAAACCAATTGTTCCATTTACTTTTTTAACTGTAAATGGTAACCAAGCAAGACCTTCAATTTTTTAATGTATCTCTTTTCAAGTTGGGTTGTGTGGGTATTACTCAGTAAGCCTTGCATGAGATGTCATCTGCACCTCAAAATTTAATTTGGTTATTTCCAACTTTTCATGTAACATTGTTAGCTGACCAAAAGGTGGTAACAGGTGAAAAAAGTTGAGCTTGGATTACTGATTTCCTGAGCATTGGTGATCATTTTATTACTTCTTGTTAACTTTTCTCTTGATTGTGTTTTCAAATAATTGCAGAGAAAATTGATGTTTGTCACTCTTGTACATGTACAGCATATATTAATTAAATTACGACTTTTGATAACAAAACGAGTTAAACCATTTAGCACAACAAGTGCTTTCAACCAAAGGTTACTATAAATTAAACTAGTAAAATGATGTTTATTTTTTGTACATATACTTACTTGCATTTCTAGTTCTTTGTACATTTCACTCTCTGCTCCTGACAAGCCACTATCTTTTACTGTTAACAACTGCAATGCATAGTAAATTTTGTAAAGAAAAGAAGTGAATAATTCTACATGTATGTACAGAAGTAAGATTACTTTGTTACTTATAAGAGACTTTTTCTTTTGGCAGCAAACAACCCTACCCGTAGATTCTATCTTTTTGGTTGTTTAATGTATCCATTATTTATACTGCATTTTGTTTTGTAAAATTCTAACTAAAATGAAAAAAAGTACTATGTACTACTGTACAATTTTGCCCACAGATTCCAAAGTTAGAATGAAAAAATAACAATAGTAAAAATAATCATCTCAGCATACATGTATCTAGGTCTAGGGGTGACAGGGTTGCTGCAGCAAATAAAACGCAAAAAAGCAGTCGAGCAAACCTCTTGAATTGCCATCATAACAACATGTTGTACTGATTCCTCCATTGACATAATGACTTGGATGTACTCTGAATACAAAAAAATACATTTAAAGAGAATATGCAAGTCTAAAGACAGCACTCCAAGCAAGTGTACAGTCATGTAACCTGCAGTACATAATGAACTACTAGCAGGGCTTTCACTAATTTTTGAAGCACTGCATAGTAAAACTGACTGAATTAACCCTTTATATTAAAATAGTAACAAAATAATGATATTCTTTACCCATGTACCTGTTAAAGATATGGGAAATAACCTGGATATGAAACCCTTATAAATCAGACATATTTTTGCCAATCTCTTGGCTTTTTGTTTTATTGTCATTCCATTGACGACCCAACAGAAAATGGGAAAAGTAGATGTACATGTAGTTGGGTATCTGACATGTTCTTGTGTAGCACTGAGAATCAGGTTTAAGATATCCACGCAAAATTCCTTGCCCTTGGCCTTCTGAATGAAGACCATGCACTCTCCTGTACATACCGTAGATGATCGATTAAGTGCTACAAGGCACTTATTTCATTTTCCCTGTTATAGGTGCAGCGCTTATTCAAGAGCAGTGCTTATTTCAACTACAGGTAAAACACTGAGAGGAATATAGAGAGAATTAAGCGAGGTGTATGCTAGGTATGCACAATTTAATTTATACAAAATATGTACACCTACAACTGTTATATGAAGCCAATTTCAAGAGCCTACATTAAAACTTTAGAACTCACGAGTTGGTCGAGGTCCCATATAGCGTTATGGTTTTGATATCTCCTTATATGAAGTGCTGTTACAAAGGTGGGGCTTTAATTTGTAAATTCCCAAATTAGTCCTACAGCACTTATTCGAGAGTGGCGCTTATTAAATTATTTTCGGTAAAGATGCAGCTCTTATTCGAGTAGCGATGCTTAATCGTTCCTTTATCATACATGTACAAAACAGAATTACAAGTAAACTGATTTTGAGTGCGAGCTTAATTTCTGGTTAATATTATCTACACCTACCCTGTTTGTCTTCACAGTTAACTGCACATCCTAACACAAGTTGCAACAGTCTTCCTAGCTCCGTTATATCCAGGTTTTCCACTAGAAGGAGTAAAGAAAATATTAACCCTTTAAACTCTAAGATGAAAATTTGAATTCTCATTTGTTACCCCTATTCATTTCCTACAGGGGAAGTGGGAGAAGTTAATAAAATATCAAGCAAATTCATCTTGTGTGATCATGTCCATAATTTTCATGACCACTCTGTTTTACAAAGCATTGATATTACAAGGAAAAATTTGATGCTGATCATTCTTAGGGCTTAAAGGGTTAACTCAGAGTAAGTGCCTTATTTTTACAGTAACAAAAATGAAGAAGCTGACAAAGCACTGTCTCCAGTTTTCCAGCCAGGCATTACCAATGAGCAGAGGGTAAGATCATTCATTCCCTCCTCCTATGGAGACTAAGGGCCTGTTTACTCAGAGGTAGGGGACCCCAGGTAGGTGAGGTAACCTGCCTGTCCATATAATCTCTCATTTTAATTTGATCACATTTACATGATAGGTGGGGTGACCAGCCACATGTTACCTCACCTATCTGGGGTCCCTCACCTCCATGTACATGTAAATAGGCCCTAAGCGTAAAAAATTGCCATGAACTCGTTTACCCATGAAGCACTTAAGACTTCCTAAGAACTTGTTTTAACATGTCCATGCCTTCTAGATTGAACTAGAATTTGGAAGTGTTGGTTTTTGAGCAGACGGAAATACTGGAGTACCCGGAGAAAACCTCCCACGAGAAGGGAGTCAACCAACTACAAACGCAGCCCACATAAAGTGTTGAAGCCAGGAACTGAATATGGGCCACATTAGCAGGAGGCGAGTGCTCTCAACACTACATCACCGTTGCTTCCCGTGATGTATATTCAAAGGAAAAGGACATTCTCAGATCTTTAGAGATTCCAGAATTAACAGGGAGGACATTGCAAATTGTGATGTCAGATCACAGGAGTTCCAAGCTCAGGTTACGAGTGTGTTATGTAAATTAACTTTCTCATAAGAGAGTCAGGGCTGTGATGCATTACATGCAACCGTTGAGTTTCCTTTATTTATTTTATATTCTCAAAAAGAGTAAAAATTATGATATTTAGTGTCCACAGACCTCAGAATTTTATTTCTCATACAAAGTCTCAACTGTTGCTTGTAACATGACACTGACTCTCTTGTGAGAAAGTTAATTTACATAACACGCTCGTAACATGAGTTTGGGACGCCTGTGGTCAGATAGGAATGGTGTTGGATGAGATCACTGGGCGACAAATCCTGGAATGACCTTGCCTGAGGTGACTTTGTCCTTAAAGTAAAAGTTCCACACTGTACCTATAGCAATTACATCAGGCATTGGAAATCCTGAAATGTCCATTGTCAGCACCTAAATGTTGAAAAAAAAAAGTGTTTATTTACAAATTTAATATTAGCCCTAAAACTAAACTCTGAATTTCTTTTTCCCAGAGAATTACACCAGCAACCTATAATTATTGTATATATATGTATATCACAGTGAGCCCGAATGCATTATAGCAATATAGCTACATATATGTATAAGCTTTAGGTCACTGATACTAAGAACCATTATCAAGCTTGCAAAATTCTTGGACAGCCCACCCACGACAACTACACAGCAACAGCCAAAACTGTACAGAACTGACTTCTCAACCTACCCCATTATTTTGCATCCTTTTGGTAATAGATAGCTACAGCTGTACATTAAACCTCACGTACACCCACTATGAAGGCGTCTTAACTTTGGTTAGGTATGCCTCACACTCTAGAGGAAATTTTCCTATTCTGCAAACTTGCAATATCATATTTTACATTATTACCTCAGTGTAATAATCTTGTACTCCTTTAATGAGTTTCTTGAGGTTGTTTACCTGCCAAAAATATTTAAAGCAAATTTCATAAACAACGACATGTACATGTACAACAAACACAATGTTGTGCTTAATTTCTTTCCTGATTTAAACCTTCTTTTCCTTTGTTTTTGGTTATGGTAATTAATAAAAATAACGTCTACAGGTTTGAAGCAAAAGAATGCTATAATAACTTGAACCAAGGATAAAATTGAATCACCACAGTAAATGTGGCTAAATTAATGTAATTTAGGCAAAGTTAAACTCAAACAATTCTGGCTGGTGGTTTTGATTGTACAGTGTACGTAGTGGCTTGCATTCAATTGTGCAGGGGAGCCCAGGCAAGTAGAAGACTTAACATGGATCAAGCTGCTGAGATTCTTTGCAATTTAGTGTGTTTCACATCTAAACAGCCTCTTGTTCATTTCGTCTCTGTCCCTCCCATAGGCCACGGAAGCATGGGAGGGGGCTGGAGGGAAGTGGGCGGGAGGGCTGGGTGAGCTTCAGCCTCCCCTTAGAATAATAAATAACTTTTTTTTTATTTTACCACGGTCAACTTCTTGATTAGGACTTAAAATACAAAACCTTAATTTATTGGGTTCTGCAATGGATCAGTTAGGTTTCCTGTATTTAATTTTGCTTTATGTGAGACCAACTTCCATTTTTTAATAAACACGAGTCTCTACATTTTCCGCTCTAAGATGCCTCAAAACATACCGCCTTTTATTGCTTATTACAGGGGGGGATGTGCCTTTTTATTTCAGCCCCCCCCCACTTTTTATTTTGCTCTGCCACCACTACCTCCTTCCTTTTCAGGTAAGTGTACACTGATCTATTTGGTCAGTGAGACCGTGCTGGTGGTGTTTGCCGCTCACTGATTGCTGTGGATATATTGCATTCATCTCTTAGGTGGCTGGTACCACCGTGCTTTGGGACAACTACATCCATAAGTTTGAAAACTCTGTGAAAGAAGTTACACTGCACCAGTGTGTGTATTTTCAGCAAAGGTATCGCCATTTAGAGAATAACATTGCTCACAAACCTTGAGTCTTCTATTGTCTCCTGTATCATGCCTGATTTTCGACATCCATTCATCATCAAACCAGTCTGGTGCACTAAAATGAAAAGTGGCACATTATTTTATTTAATCACAAGTAATCACCAGCAGAATATTGTGCCATTTTCAATCCGTAAAACAGGGGTTTCAATAATAATTGAAGTAGCCAGCAAGTTTGAATAGAGTAAATGACTGTATCAACAAGGGGCCGTTAGCTCCCTTCTTCTAGGTAACTAAAAGCATAATGTATCAGTGGTCCCCGAAAGCACATCATAATTAACTCACATTTTAATTCAGATTTAATGATATATTTTTTTGTTTACGACATCTTTAAAACTAATTGCTTCTTTTCCTGGGAAAAAAAGCAGCCGACTGCTCTGAGCAAAGTAGCCAACGCGTGTTGTCAGTCATCGGTGCTTATAGAAGCAAGTTGTCATCAACATTAACCGTTATTCAACGAATTAGAAAATGGTAGGGGGGGCCACAAGAGTGGATACCAGCACAGTACAGAGAGGTCACGGCCCCACATCCTCATCCCTGAGGATGACTTTGAGATCACAGTGGAAGGATTTGAGTACTACACGTTCTTAATTTACTTCTTAGGGTCAGCTATTGGGTAGCCTGCGAACGGCAGACGTTTTTCCTCGCTCATCGCCGCTGAGGGACTTTTCGTGAGGAGGAAGGTCTGCGACTCAGCGACAGAAATTCCATACTGATGACGCAGAATCTGTCCGGAATCCGGACAGAAGAGCTAACTGGTCGACGGAGTAGTTTCATTGTTCTAGCTATTGTTTACGAATGACAGACAAAAGACAAAAGGCAGGCTGCAAAGGTCAAATGTAAACACGATGAATCTCTAACAAAACAGTCAATATGTGTGGAATATAGTCTTCTCTACAAGAAGCATTTGAGTTTTGCCGGAGCTCATTCGCACAACACAACACTTTTCCGAAATCGACCAGGAGAAACGTAAAATTGAACAAATTTGCATTTAGAACCCCATGACTACCGGATTTATTATGTAAACATTGATTTACGTCATCAGTATGGAATTTCTGTCGCTGAGTCGCAGACGTTCCTCCTTGCTAAACGTCCCCCAGTGGCGATGAGCGAGGAGAAACGTCTGCTGTTCGCAGGCTAGTTATTGGGGTATTGAGTGTATATGGAACCCTACCTAATGACTACAGTCAACTCTCTCTAAGACCTTTGGGACCGGCACCAAGTGTCTGTCTTAGAGAGGTGTCTGTCTTATAGAGAGTCAAATAAAAGGAGTAAAGAAAGGCAGGGACCACCTCTAGGTGTCCGTTTTACAGAGGTGTCTGTCTTATAGAGGTGTCCGTTTAGACAAAGTCGACTGTACCCTGTTTATACGACGACCTCATTATTATGAATAGGATTTTATGGCTGAGTGGTGGTTCCATAAACAGGGTTACTGTAGTTCGGAAATCCTACGATGTGACATTCACACAGATGATGTACAAAATTTCCAAAACTTTGACCGAATAAAATACCCCCTCAATTTGTGTTCAGTTTTTCTTCATTCATAAAAGAACATTTAACCACTGAAAAACATCTGTAAATCATTCTAGCTTGACAAGTTGATTTTTAATTTTTGTCTTACACTCAGGCCAAGTGCGTATCAGAATAAGAAACACATCACTGAGCAATTGTTCCTTTTTTGTGATTTGAACAAAAGGAGACTGCATTAAAATTAGGTATCACAAAATACTTGTCAAGTGGCCCCATGTAAACAAAGCAAAATGTGAGAATGATGATAAATAGACTCTTTATCAACCCTAAAAGTCGATCATTCTATGCATTGTCAAGAGCCTTTTGCTTCAGAGATAAAAGCACAAAAAATTTGAAAAATCACTTCAATAGCAGTAGCGAATGACACATAAAGCTTAAAAGTAAATAAAACTTGAATCAACAGAATTCTTTAGAAAAGTACGACTCATAATTTACGGTTCAATTCGCAAGAACATGTTATGAGCTCAAGCTCAAACTAAACCTATTGTAAAAAACTCCCACGTTTGGAGATTATAAAGCGCAAATTGATGTTAATAAGAATCGGAAGTCTACAATACCATCAAAGACATACAAAACCAAAATATCAATCGAAATGTTTCTGCCTTTCCGCATCTGAGCGTTTCGTTATGGGTTATGCGTTCACCCTATATCCAACGTCGCGTTGTAAACTTACATTTCGGCCAAACATTCACAGAGAGCGACTCCGTCTGTCAATTCCTCTATGGTTTGATGAGGAGCTTTAATCCCTTCGAACGTTTTAACCTGTTAAAAAGGGAAACCGTAAACTGGATTCAGCTAAAAAGTCAATATAACAACATAGTTGTTTTTTGTCTACTCTCAGATGTTCCGTCGATTACGAATTGATCAGTAAGTTGACACTCTATGATACCAGTAAAATTGAAAGCATATTCTCATAATTCCAGCTTACCCATTTCATCAGACTCTCGCACATCAACTCTTCGTCCATTATTCTTGGAAAAAAAGCGTTAAAATCGAATAAACAACAAGAAAAAAGTTTAAAAATTAAGCAATATTTACAATAGCAGCTTCGCCGGACTGAAGAAATGTAACAACTGCTGGCGTGGTTACAAAGCAGAACATTCAAATGGCCCCCTGGGAAATAGCGCGCTCTAATTGGTCGTATGGGAGGGGTGGTTTATCATTTCATGTCAGTTTTGGATAAACAACTTTGGTCCTCAATTTAAAAGTCGCAAATGAAGATATATTTTCTTGGCAATCATTCTCGCGGACACTTTTTTCTATGACACTCGCTCATCAGATCGATGTTTTCTATTATACTTCTTATCAGAAGCTCCTGTTACGATCTTATACATCTCGCCGGATTTTTCTTGGGTCACGAAGTTTTTTTACGGCCTAATGCTATCTCCAAAGTAGCCAATATAAAAATTAAGAGAGCAACCATTGCCTTTTTCTCTTCTCCTTCTTTCTTCCACCTCGCTCTTTCTTTTTCTCCTTATCTTTTCTTTGCTTGTAGTGAATAGTGTGATTTTCATACTTCTCTTCATACTATTCTTTCAGATAGCGGGAAAAAAGAATTTCTGAATAAAGAACAGGCATTTGATGGCTGCAGAAATCTCAGGCGTTCTTAAGGAAGTCAGAGCACAAACGCTTATCGGCCGATAACTGTGGGGGGACCTTCCTATAAACAATCGATTTAAATAATTTTTATAAATTATTTTCGAGGGGACAATAGTAGTTGCCCTCGTGATTTGGGGTAGACTACGAGCAGTCTCTCTCAGTTTTCTTGGTCCGTCAAGCAAAACGCCCGAGACACGCAAATGACCACGCGCGTGACTGAAGGCGCGAGACGGGAGAGGCCGCCCTCGTTTCTCGCGTCTCGCGGCTTCTCCGCTCAACGCTCGCGCGCGCTTGCATTCCCCTTACTAAATCTGAAGAAAAAAAGAGACTGCTCGGAGTCTAGATTTGGGGTGAAACTGCTCGCTGGAAGAGTCAGAAGCTTGGCGAAGTGGGGTGGAGTGGGAAAGAGGATGGTTTTAATATAAAATATGAAACGAACGGAGGAAAGGGTTGCTCGCCGTCAAAGGAAGATCAGAGTGATCGGTAAATCTGTTCAAGTGGGGTTTTCAGGACAGAGTGTCTATGAACATCATCCGGATGTGATTCTTGGAAAACAAATATGGTTCTCTGTTTTAGAGTATTTTAAGTTTGTTCAGGACAGAGCCTGTCTACGAAGCGTTTCAATCAATGCCGTATAACGGAAGCAAAAAAAAAGGTTGGTCTTTCTGCGAAAAGAAAAACAACTATGGCTATCAATTCAGTAGGCTGGTTTTCCACTGCTCTTCCTTGTGTGGTCTTTGTCCTTCCCGAATGAGATGATGATGATGATGATGATGATAATGATGATGATGATGATGGGATGAGTTTGGGCTCATTTTTCAAAACAGCGACTTGTAATCGAGCCTAGGTAATCATTCTATTCATCATAGTTCAAAGGGACAGAATATCCTGTAACAGGTTTATCCAGTTTTCTTTGTGAGGAAATATAATCTTTTTAATGTGAAAATGTAAGTCAGTTTTCCTAATAACTATACTACAATCGATTAAAACTTACCATTCATTTGCGAGTCTGAAGTTTAAGTTTTGATTTTAACTAGCCTTGCGAATACAGACGACTCTCCTCGCTCTTTGCTACTAGGGCAAGGAGCAAGGAGAGATTCCACAAGCTATTTGAAGACTGATGTAATAATTTGAAGATATTAGTGCGTACTTAGCCTCCCGGGGATACTTACTACAAGGGACTATAAGCGTTTACGGGGATGTACCGCCAGAAGGGCTACTGGTAACCCGGGTACATAAAAGCCTACGGATTTTACGAGTTTAGAGTTTAAAGAAAAACTCGTAAATCACTACGATATTACGAGTTGAGAGTTAAAAGAAAAAAGCTAAGGAAAACTGCCAGTTTAGTATAAGAATGGAAAGGGGACTTTCTGGCCTTCTGATAAAAAAGGGGATATATTAATGGTTAAAAGCAAGCAGCCATTTAGTAGGTACGGAAAAAAATGTTTTTTTTAGCAATCTTTCCCCCGGAACAGCTGGAAGTACTGAACAGTCTAAGAGCAAACAATTATCTTTCTCAGACAGTTTTAGATTTCCAGAAGATTAATAAAAACAATAGAATGATCTAGTCTGATGTTATTTCAGGTCCGTTGAACGTTTATATGCGCTTATTGGCGAATGGTAAAATCCGAGACTCGCCGAGACGCCAAGATCCTAGTTAGAAATCCGAGCCCGAGACTCTTTGGTAAAAAGTTTCGAGACTCAAAAAAGTAAAAACAAACCATCAAAAAACGAGACTTCGAGACTTATCATAAACGCTTCCGAGATTTCGAGATCCTGACAAAATTTTCCGAGACCCACGTATTTCGAGGTATCATTCGCTACCCCTGCTATTGTTCATCGTCATTTGAAGTCCACATGCACTTGTACGTTCCGTTGTACGAAAAAGATTTCTTTGCATGACACACTTGCTTTTGGCATATGCAGTTAACGGGTGGTGTGATCAGTTTGGCCATGAGGTGACTGGCATCGCGCCATACAAAAATGTAAACAAAGGTTGTAAAAAAGATAAAAAAAACTGTCTGACTTTCCGGGGTATTAGTTGGACAGGGGGGAGGAGGAGGGTTATGTACCGTCCACACCTCAACATTCTAAGTTAACACTTTCTGATCTTGAGTTCGAAATACCATACACCATTCCAAAGTCTGTTTGAGGCCAGGGTACTCTCCAAGTAACCATGCTGCACTCAGGCGGTCGCGGTTTTTAGTTCAAACGTTGGATCCAGCGGATAAGTAATAGGGAAACCAAATGCGTTATCCACTGGATAGAGATTTATCCAGTGGATACGTCATCCAGTTTTGGCCAACTGGGGCTTGGCTTGTATCCCTCACTCAAGGGGAGGAACGCAGACGGAACATTGAAATACGAAAAAATGGACATACTTTTAGAACGCAGTATCATTCTGAATGAGACATTTGTTTTAAACACGATGCCCAGATTTGACCACAAGTACAAGGGTCGCACTTATCCATTCAAAACACTACCTTAGTACCACCCCGTGGGTGAAATATGGAGCCTCCAAATCACGACCATACTCGTAAAGGGATATGGGGAGTTACCCCCGGGTTGACATATGGTAGCCCGAGGGCAGCTAAGTTTCTGGGATACGCGGCTGAAATATTTCCTCAGTGTTTAAAAGCTTTAAACACAAGGACCTAAACACGATATCCTTACTTTTGACACGATGCAAGTTGCGGACGAAAACGCAAAATTCAAGAAAAATGGGCATCGAGCATGGATTATTGGAGCAGTTTTGGTTGTCGCAGCTTTCGCCCTAGGAATTGTAATTGGACATTTCGCCATACAAAAGCTACCCTCGAACGACGACCGCGACCAGCCCTCTTCTCCCAGTCCCACGAAGCTTGCAGAAGCGAAAGGTTCATTTAAAAGACAAAGCCAGGAGATGATGAATCATCATAAAAATTTCCAAACAATCCTTAGCGAAGAGCAACTTGAAAGTACTCTCAAGTAAGTAAATAAAACGCTCAGCTGAGGCCTAAAAAATGAAATAATTTTTCACATGAATGTGATCACAAAAATATGTTTTTTGATGATTTGGTCTCCGAAGCCAGGGATGTATTTCCACCTCCTTTGGATGCAGAGGTTTGATAAGTAACCAGGGAAACGTTTTGAAACCGCCCATAATAATTTAATTTTCTCTTGAAGACTGTGAAGTATTTCGCTCAGTGCAAACAGAAGTGTCGGTCATGATTGCGAGATTAAATTACTTCTTCAATTTTTCCATAGACTTTTAGCTCTGTTATCTTTTACATCTCCTAAAGCAAAACTGTAAATGACTAAACATAAAACATTCTTTTGGTGCTTACTTAAAATACCTACCGTTCTCAGGATAGCAGGATAGCAACCTCAAATAGTGGCAGAAAAACAAATAATAATGATATTAATAATAATAATAATAATAATAATAATAATAATAATAATAATAATGATGATAATGATGATGATGATGATAAGTTTGGAATGTATAGCAACGGATTACCCAGTTTAGTGGCTCGTCCCTATACGACCCTATATTGACCAAACATATCCCCGAATTTTGCCCTCGTGCGGACGTCTCTTATTTCCTTTGTTGCACGCGGAAAAGGGACGACTTTCCTTTTCCGCGTGCAACAAAGGAAATAGGATACGTCTGCACGCAGGCAATCCCGAATTCACACACTATTGTGTCCGTAACAGCTGAAGAAAGGTCCACTCTTTCAGGCAAAACAGATCGGGGACAGACACGTAGGCTGATCATCGCAAACAGACACATACACAAACAATAGATGCATTCCTAACATTTGGATGCAGGACTGTAAATACGCACAGTTTACTATTTGAGTGGCCACAATCTTTATAAAAGATGACATGAAAGTATAGGCTATCTTTTTTAGCAGGTTTAGCCTCATATGGTTGCAAATCAAGGCGCTAAAGCGGAATGTCCTTTTGGTACATATGATATTTTTGCGTCTTCCCCTGGAGCCTTATTGACTAAAACCATTGTAGTCAAACAAAGGCTTCTGACCTTTCAGGTCATTCCATGCTTATATATAGAAAAATGTAGAACTGCAAACTGATCCTTACAGCAAGGAGATCAAGAAGTAAACAAAAGAATAAAACAAAAAATATATATATTTAAACAAATTGCCCAGTATTTCGGTTTGAAGACAAACCAGGTCTGCAACTGGGAGATTCGGTGCATCAGTATATATGGAGATCGCTGGATCGGTGGATCGGCGTGGATCGGTGGATCAGTAGATAGGGGATCAGTACATCGAAGGATTGGAGGATCGGTGGATCAAATGGATCGCTGGGTCGATGGATCAGTGGCTCGGTGTATCAGTAGATCGCTAGATCGTTGGATCGCTGGATCGATGGATCGGTGGATCGGTGGATCGGTAGATCGCTGAATCGTTAGATCGCTGGATCGATGGATCGGTGGATCGGGGGATCGATGGAACGCTGGATCGCTGGATCGATCAGTGAATCGGAGGATCAGTAGATCGCTGGATCGCTGAATGGGAGGATCGGGGGATCGATGGAACGCTGGATCGCTGAATCGATGGGTGGATCGGTGGATCAATTGATCTTTAGATCACTGGATCGGTGGATCGGGGGATCGCTGGATTACTGGATCGCTGGACGGATCGGTGGATCAGTAGATCCATGGATCAACGGATCGATGGATAGGTGGATCGGGGATCGATGGAACGCTGGATCGCTGGATCGATCGGTGGATCGGTGGATCAGTAGATCGCTGGATCGTTTAGATCGCCGGATCGATGGATCGGTGGATCGATGGAACGCTGGATCGCTGGATCGGTGGATCATTAGATCGCTGGATCGTTCTATCGCTGGATCGCTGGATCGGTGGATCGGGGGATCGATGGAACGCAGGACCGCTGGATCAGTAGATCGCTGGATCGTTAGATCGCCGGATCGATGGATCGATGGATCGGGGGATCGATGGAACGCTGGATCGCTGGATCGATCGGTGGATCAGCAGATCGCTGGATCGTTAGATCGCCGGATCGGTCGATCGGTGGATTGGTCGATCGCTGGATCGGGGGATCGATGGAACGCTGGACCGCTGGATCAGTAGATCGCTGGATCGTTAGTTCGCCGGATCGGTGGATCGATGGATCGGTGGATCTATGGAACGCTGGATCGCTGGATCGGTGGATCAGTAGATCGCTGGATCGCTGGATCGCTGGAACGATCAGTGAATTGGTAGATCAGTAGATCGCTGGATCGCTGAATCGGAGGATCGCGGGATCGATGGAACGCTGGATCGCTGAATCGATGGGTGGATCGGTGGATCTGTAGATCGGTGGATCGTTAGATCGCTGTATCGCTGGATCGATGGATCGATGGATCAGTGGATCGCTGGATCGATCGGTGTATCAGTAGATCGCTGGATCGTTAGATCGCTGGAACGATGGATCGGTGGATCGGGGGATCGATGGATTACTGGATCGCTGGACGGCTCGGTGGATCAGTAGATCGCTGGATCGTTAGATCGCTGTATCGGTGGATCGGGGAAGCGATGGATCGCTGGATCGCTGGATCGATGGGTGGATGGGTGGATCAGTAGATCGCTAAATTGTTAGATCGCTGGATCGATGGATAGGTGGATCGGTGGATCGCTGGAACGCTGGATCGCTGGATCGATCGGTGGATCGGTGGATCAGTAGATCGCTGGATCGTTGGATCGATGGAACGCTGGATCGCTGGATCAGTAGATTGCTGGATCGTTAGATCGCTGGATCGCTCAACCCCGTCTCCAGGGCTTTTCCCTTAAAAAATGGGTGGGATTGCTGGATCGATAAATCGCTGGATCGCTAGATCAATGGATCGCTGCATCGCTGGAACGCTGGGTCGATGGATCAGTGGATAGGTGGATCAGTTTATCGCTGGTTCACTGGATCGATGGATCGGATGTTCGGTGGATCGATGGGTCGCAGGATCGCAGGATCGCCGGATCGATCGGTGGATCGGTGGATCAGTAGATCGCTGGATTGCTAGATTGGTGGATCAGGAGATCGAGGGGTTGGTGGATCGATGGATCGTTGGATCGTTGGATCCGTAGATCGCTGGACCGCTAGATCGCTGGATCGCTGGATCGCTGGAACGCTGGATCGCTGGGTCGATGGATCAGTGGATCGGTGGATCAGTATATCGCTAGATTGCTAGATCACTGAATCGCTGAATCGCTGGATCGGTGGATCGATGGATCAGTGGATCGCTGGATGGATCGATCGGTGGATCGCTGGATCAGTAGATCGAAAGATGGGTGGATCGCTGCATCGTTGGATCGATGGATCGGTGGATCGGTGGATCGCTTGATGGCGGGATCGATAGATCGGTGGATCGGTGGATCAGTAGATTGTTTGATCGCTGAATCCCTGGATCGATGGATCGGTGGATCTGTGGATCGATGGATGTGTTGATCGAAAGATGGGTGGGTCGCTGGATCGGTAAATCGAACCGGCTTTCTACGCGTATCGAATTGATTGTGATGATGAATCGAAACGACTTAAGTTTGGATCGAAACGACTTGGATCAAAACGACCGAACTGCAGATTTTTGACAGGTTCGTAGGATAGGTTTGTCTTGAAATTTTTCGGGTAACATGTTACAGTGAATCAATCTCAATGATAGTTTCAGACCTTATTATATACATTATGAATATTATGTGAAGAGATTTTAAAAAAATTCGTTTGAGTCGTTTCAGAGATATAAATATAAGCGCTAAAAATCCAAATTTTGAATGAAGTTGCGCCTATACAGGTGTTGAAAACGGGTTAGTTTTTAAGAACGAAAATACAATAAAATTTCCTAGCATCAAAATATGATATTAAGGCGCATTCTGACGCTACTTTAGAATGATTTGAGTCATTTATAACGTTTTTATTAAATAATCTATCACCGCAACGGCTCTTTAAAATTTAAGGTTTGAAATATATTTTCGTTTTAGTCGCATTCAAACATACAGAATTTTTTACTTCTTACGGAGATTGTTTGCTAAACGTGAAACTTTAAGTTCCTAGTGTTGGATTTTCAGTAACTGGTCTAGATCACACAAAATTCAGCTTTTATCAATTTTAAAGGTTTTTGTTTATTGTTGTCATGGTAAACGATTTTGAAACTTTAAGTTCCTAGTGTTGGATTTTCAGTAACTGGTCTAGATCACACAATATTCAGCTTTTATCAATTTTAAAGGTTTTTGTTTATTGTTGTCATAGTAATATCGATTTTAGTTGAAAAAAACATTTTCACAAATTTCAATCCATTGCCAATTACTGGTTAAAATTTTATAGCGATCGGACAATGAAACAACCACTTTTAAGGCGATTGAAAAATATCGGTATGGCCTCTGAAAAACTGTATCGAAACGCCTTAATGTAATCTATTGCCATATGACAATTGCTTATGACGTAAAAAATAATGTCCACCAGGTACAATACATTTTCATTCAAACAATTTTGCTGTCTCGAATCTTAGAAAGTTGAGGGTCTTGCAATAATACTTTAAGATTATCAGCTCTTGAAAGTTGAGGCGGTGTCGGTGTCCAACATCCAAAACATACCTTGTGAGTTAATAACCGGAGAGGCAAAATTGGTTATCTGTGCCGGTGACTTTTGCCGCGATGGACGACGACAACGTAGAACTTACTTACAAGAAAAGAAAGAAACAGCGTAGGGTTCGCTGCATTGCAATGATTGTCGCGTTCATCGTAGTATTTTTCATTGGATTTTTGATCGGATATTTGGCGATCAAAGCAAAAGGATCAAACGAGGGCAAAGAAGAGCGTGGGGAACGTCACGAGAAAGCTGAATTTCAAAAGCGACACGAAGAGATCATGAAGCATCATAAGGTTTTTCAGTCAGCTCTTAAAGAAGAGACGCTTGAAGACACTCTAAAGTAAGTTTACTAATAAAGAATTTGCCGCAGTCATTGTTATTACAGGGACCGAATAATCATATCAAAATCAGTCTGACTGATCTTTCCGCATTCTTTTAAAATCAGTCGCTAAAAGGAGATCTGTACTCAATCGTTTGTTGTGCATTTTCACCCTAAGTATGTGTACCTCTTGGAGGCCGCAAGACAAAAACATTTTAATGTATTCAAATGTAAATACTAAAGGAAAGCAACCTCAACAACATTCACGACATATTTCCATTTGAAAAAACTTCGAGATTTTATATGGTGCATCAAAGTTACAGTCTCAATACAGTTCTGTTTTTAACCAAGCAACGGAAATGATTTATTGTTCCAAGCTGGTACACAGAGTTAACTCTAGTTTATGAACAGCTGTGGACTTGTTAATTTAATACATGGAACTGATAAGCCCTGATAAAAAAAACATATTTTATTCATTTGTTTTCAAATTTAGCTAAATTTGAATATAGCGACCCTGTAATGTAAACTATGCGTCTCTTTAAGAGACGCCGTTCTGCTTCGTTACACACTTTCTTTACCTTCAAAACAAGGCGTTGACTTCAGCCCGGTTCACACTAATTTGGATAAATGTTCAGAACAGGGGAGTTTGAAAAGATAGCATGCAAATTCGTTGAGCTAAAAGTCCCAGCGGCTGTTTTTGAAAGCTATTAAAAACGCCGCATAAAATGTTGTCTGTTACCACGGTAGTCTGAGTAAACTGAAAAGCATCTTGTTTTTTTTTCTCTCTCTCTCTGTCTCCAGTTTTAGCAGGAGCCTATGAGCATGGTCGGGCTCCTGGTTTTGGCCACTGAAAAACGGATAAAATGTCTTCTGTTTACACTAGGCCGGATAAATTTGAAAACCCAACGCTGGAGTTTTCGTCCACAAACGAAAACGCAAAGATGGCGTTTTCAAGTTGATCCACTGTTGGCAATTCAAATTTAAAAACGCCTCATATAATCTGTGCACATTAATACGGATAAATCTGAAAATTAATCTTTTTCTTTCTGCAGTTTTTTGCCAAAAATCAAAGCGGATAAAATGTTCTCTTTCCACACCACTGTGGCAAAATCAGAACACGCAAGGCCGTCAGATAAATCATGCATGATGATTGTACCGTTAGCGTTTTCGAAAAGTTTATCAGTTTTCAAAATGTTTCTCGTCCACACTGAAACGTAAAGCTAGGGCTTATTCACTTTGGAGTTCGTTTCCGCAGATTTCCGTTTCGGTTGACAGTTTTGTCGCATTAACATTTCAAAACATACGTTTTAACACTTGAAGTCACTCCACATACGCGACTGTTTTAGCGTACCGTTCCATGCATCGTTTGCGCATGCGTTTTGTTCGGACATCCATCTACCAGTAAGATTATCGAGCTTCTGGAATCGAAGCAGCTAAAGAATAGACAACAAATGAATGAAGGGGCGATGGGTGAGTTGCATTGGGGTGGGGGGAGGGGTTAGGGGATGGGTGTAAGTCAGACGTTTCGGGTGGAGAGAAGCGACGACCGGAAAAACGTGTGCGTTCGCAGGTTACCGCAACTGCGCATAGCGCCAATTACTGCGGTCCCTCAACAGTCCCTCCCCCCATGAGAGATAGACCACCACAACGGGGACTACGTTCCCCACTCCTTCCAAACAGTGTGTGGGTTCTTTAACGTCACGCATAATTTACATGTGCAAGGGTTGTGAGACGAGGCTTAGGATTTACTGTCTTTATCCGGGAAGACTAGACTTCAGATGTGTAAGATTATACGAATACGTGCGTATCTCGCGGCAAGGTTTTGTTAGAGGATATCAAGGAATTATTGGTTGTGTCTGTTTATATGTAAAATCTTAGAGGAACGTTGTTAAAAGGACATGATTATATAATAAAAACAAGAATATTATTTGTATGAATAGAACAAGTTAAGCCGGGCAGTGAGTCTTGGCTGAGCCTTTTTCTTTTTGTCTCTCGATTCTGTCTTAATTGGAATTTGAATTTCATGCCTTTTACATTGTAAAACTCCACTTTAGATCGATAATTGTAACTCGGCTCTTAGCCTTCTCTAAGAAGGTCCTTCACAAAAGTATTGAACCCGATCGTATTGTGCCTCTACTCCAAGTCACTATCTAACCCGGTTTAAAACCCATAGTAAATGATGGAGACTTGTAAGGTAGTTGTAACTTTAAAATCTGTGGCCCAAGGACCTTATAATGGAGGCTCTGCCCGAAACGCTGGAAAGGGGTACCCTTTTCAGGCTTCAAGTATATGAAAGGGTAGGGATTTCACTGATTAAAGTATATGAAAGAGGAGGGAAATCTGTCATTTCGCTCTTTAAAATATGGCCTCGCACCGAGTATTGTTAACGAACTATTTAAGCACAAAAGCACTAGTTATTCACTACGAAACAGTGATTTTGATATTCCAACTTTTACAGTAACACTATTAACTATGGAAAGCATTCTCTTAGATATCAAGGACCTCATATATGGTCGAAACTAGATATTAAGTTGAAAGGCTCCTCGAATATTGAATCTTTCAAAAAGAACATTAGGAAAAAAGACCTAACGTCACTCTTAAACAACAACGATAGCTGCTGCAACCTTTGCAATTCTTAGAGACTACCTTTTATATAACTATTGTCTTATTATACAATTTATACATGCGACATATTTTAATTATATATACATTATTATTATTATTTCTTATTTGTAAATAATTTTTATTTTTGTGTTCCCAATTAGTTGAAAACTAAATACCATTGACACATTAATAAAGCTTTTACTTACTTACTTACTTTAAAATGCGCAAAAGAGCTAACAGATGCTTTTTATCGACTGTGAAAAATGTTTAGAAGACGTTCTGGTTTTGTGATTTATTTATATTTAAAAGACAGTGTATTTATATGATTGGAAAGGGATGCAAAGTTCTAAACTTTGTAGGTGGAAGGAGGGTATCATTTGTCAATAGAAGGTTTACGAAAGGGATGCCTTTCCTGTCACAAATGGTATAATCTAATGGTACAAATGGTGTAGATTAACAAGGTCAGGGGCTACCCCTCGGGGTCTGTGGACGAAGTCCTGTGGTGTGTCTACTCAAATAAAACCTTTTTTGTTTTTTTTATGGTAATATTTTACGAAATATAATTTAGAAATTTTGTTGGATTTTGACTATGTTCACTTTTGAGATTGAAATGACAACAAAACAACAAAATTAACTGCTTGGAAGTTAGGAGAAGGCGATCGCAGTCGTCTTAAAGAGTCGACCGCAGATTATAGGTCGGCTTTACAGAAATTAAAGAACTTTGGCAAATGATGGCTTAATGAGAGGATGATTGTTTATACAGGTTTGACTATCTTTCTCCTTTTTTGCAGGTTTTTCTCTGAGAAACCGCACGTCGCAGGCTCACCCCGTCAGAAGGAACTTGCAGACGAGCTAGAAAAGCGTTGGAAGGATTATGGCTTTGATAAAGTGGAGAAACCCGAATACAAGGCGCTGCTGTCTTTTCCTGACACAGAAAACCCCACAAGGATAACCATCAAATACAAAAACGGAACAATAATTCACCAAATCAAAGGAGAGGAGCAAGTAATTAATATGGCTGTTAACCCCAAGTCCCAATAGTCCCAATAGTGACCAACATCAATTTTCTCCTAACAATATCCATAGATTGTCAAGTGCAACATCTATGAGAATTAATCAAATGATCACAATAAGAAAAATCTCTGATCTTTTATCAATTTCTCCCAACTAATTCTGTAAGGAAATGTATAGAGATCAGTTTGGAGAATTTGTTTGTGCATATTGGGGCTTAAGGTCTCGGTAAAGGAAAACGAGGTGCCCACAGAAAAAAATTCTAGTCGCGCGAGTATTTTCGCTACAAAGGCAAGTTATATATCAAATTAAAGCTAAAAGACTAAATTACCTTATAAAAGATTTTATTTCATCGAATTTCAAAGGGTGCTTAAGTTTTTTGCTCTCGAACTCAGAGGTATCGAGTTTACTGCTGAAGCTCCAGCCCTTTCGCGTTGTTAAATATTCGCTTCCTTTTTATTGCGTCTGATTGACAGATAAAAGACCTAAAAAAGGGTGTGAGGAAATTTGCATATGTCTCGTATTAGCGGAATTATTGCATTTCAAACTAAAAAGTCGAATCTCGAGCGCGATTTACGCAAAGAAACTGACATAAAATGAGTTACAAAGGGAAATCGGAAAATTCCTCACACCCTTTTTGAGTCTATATCATTATCCATCATATCTGAAAGTTTCAAAGCGATAGCTTAAAACCTGTCCCGACTGGAGGTCGGAGAAGTTTGATTTTTGCGTCTAAAATAGAGTGAGGGAAAATCAGCTTTAAAGATTTAGCGCGAGGTCCTCGCTTGGCTGGTTAGCTCAGAAAAGGCTCATTTTAGAAGGGTTAAAAAGCACTTTCTGATTTTCTTTTTCTGCCAAAATAAAATTTAGGACCCCCTCATGACAAAAATCCAAAAAAAACAAAATCGAGCAATGTACTAAAATTTTCATTTACCGAGACCTTAAAGGGTTAATAGGCGATTTCCGAGTTCCCCCGGGCCTCTGTTTCAAAACGAGGGTAGGTGCTCAGCCTTTGGTATGGAAATCATTTTTCATTTTTATGCAAATAAAACTCATTTTCACAAGAAAGATTGTGCACCTGGCCTCATTTTGAAAGTGAGGGTTTTTGGAACTCAGAAGTGGCCTATTCTGTCGCCCCTCCCCCACCTCATTTACATTTACCGATTTGTGTTGATCGATAGTAGAGTCCTCTGTGGGAAAGGGGTACCTAAAAGACCTCGGGGCAAAGTCTCCCCGTATGATAATTTCTTGCGTAGCCCCTTTCCGCCCGAGAGAAGCACGACTGATGCAAAATGACCATTTGCTCAAAAATGGGATAAGTCGAGGAAAAGAGAGAAAGAGGGAGATAACAAGTCCAATTGGTATTTTAGCTATCATTAACATGAAAAAGACGCGGTAAAAGAATCAGAGGATTGAAAGTGGAACAAAATTGTGTTAATACGAAAAGATAAAAGTCTCGTCGAGATCAGAGAAAGCATGATGTGGGAGAATTAAGCCTCCACTACCCCTAATTTTACAGGGTGAGAACAGACGTAGGCCACGCACGTGTGTGTCAGGTCTTTGTTCTATCTCTTTGGCAGTTAAGAGTGAAAGAAAACTAGATAAGGTAACGCCGCCTCGTTCTTAGTAGTGCTGCTTGATAGAAGGAAGAGCCGCAGCGGGAAATGATAGCAAATTAAGATAGAGTCAATTCGAGGCGTTTCCAGCTTGCGTAGTTTTACTACGGCGTAGAAATCGTCTTAAACCGTGCCCATTTACAGTAAATGACCTAAAAGACGCCCACTTCCAAAAAAACTCCCCTCTACGCTGTTGAAATTGTACTAGACGCCTATCTCTAATGAACGCCCCCTGTCTAACAAACGCCCCCAATGAGAATTATTCCAAAATACTAGAATTGGCAAAAAAAGCATAATGATTCGTTTCATTCAGTTTCTTGCTTGATTAACAAGGCTATGCGTATTTCATCTTGTTCAATGTCACGTTCAAAACAAGGATAGACTAACGATGGCAACACAATAATTCTGAGCGAATATTCTGACATCGATGTTGGGATTTGAATAAGCGATATGGATCTCTAGATGGCCTAGACGCCGTATCAATGGAGTGGAGATTGCGCTATTTTTAAACTCCCTTGATATTTTTGCCGAAAGCATATTCCTTTTTTGAGCTTGTTACAGTTATGAGTATGAACGCCTCCTATCAATTAAACGTCTCCGCTTAGACCCGTTTTATTAAATAGACACCCCGGGCGTTTATTAGATCATTTACGACCATTTACGGTAATCGTTTTCACTTAATCAAAAATTAATGTAATGTTAGCCTGCGTAGCAAGCGTTTCCGCACGAGTTCGTCGAGAAAGGTGGGAAGAGAGCAAAAAAAAGGAATGACACCCTTTTTTTTTCGCTTCCGCTCTAACTTTCACGCAATAACTCGATTGGAAACGCTTGCTACCCAGGCTAATGTAATGTCGAGTTTCTTTTCAACCATCTGTCATCAGCATGTCTTTGTCATTGTTTGATTAGGATGGAGGAGGAAAGGGTATTATTCAGCCGTTCCTTGGTTACAGCCCAAGCGGTTTTGCTGAAGGAGAATTGGTGTACGTGAACTACGGACGAGTGCAGGACTTTGAATTACTTAAAACCAACCTAAGTGTCAATGTGACGGGGAAAATTGCCATCATGAGATACGGGAAAATATTTCGTGGAAACAAGGTAATACGGGAAGTCAACATAGCTTTGAAACATTCGTCTCCTTGTTATAAGTACTGAGCAGAATTATTTTGGCCAGATTTGAACAGGCCGGTGCAACAAAAATCTCCACTTTTAAGCTACGAAATAGAGAGTTAAAGTAGCAACGTTTTTGAGCGACGCAAGCCAACCGGAAGTGAGCCTTTTTCTTTTAATATGCCTTTACGCTACCAAATTTTTATCGCTGTGTCTAGTGTCTATACTCTAATAGACTCAGAGAAAGAAACTCCACTACCTGTTGACGTGCGTGACTGAAAAACGTCGCTGCTTTAACTCCTTAATAGGCTGATTTAGCAACAGGACGGGAACGTCAGTTGACGACGGGAAAGCGCGCGCAAGGACTGAACACGACTTCCGGTGCCCAATTTGCCGCTCTACCATTGGTCAAGCCACTTGCTTGATTTGCGCGCGTCGTTGTCAACTGACGTTCCCATTTTGTTGCTAAATCAGTCTAATGGGAGTTGTGTGCGACCCGGTGGTTGCAATTGTTTCATTTGCAAAGCAAATACTTGGGAAAGACGGACATATTTAAGGGGCTCCGGACCTCTCAGACCGTTCGCCTGGATTCGCTTCAGAACAAAAGCAGTCATAAATCATATAAAGCCTGAACCATGCCCGGTTTGGTCTTCTTCATGGGTCTTAGTTCTGTCACATTTCTCAGACTTTTGAGTCTCTTTTTTCTCTTGCAGATTGCAAACGCTGCAAGGTATGGCGCTATAGCAGCCCTTCTCTTCTCAGATCCTGCAGATTATGCCAGGGCTGGCCCGGATCCTAAAGATACCTATCCTAACACTGCATGGCTTCCTGCAAGCGGTGTTCAACGGGGTTCGTTGTACACATTCCCTGGAAGTGGAGACCCACAAACACCTGCTATAGCGGCCCTTCCAGGAATGTGGCGGCGACCGCAGAATGAGAGCGAATTGCCCCCCATCCCTGCCCACCCCATGGGGTACGGAGATGCTATCCACTTTCTTAGCAGAATGGGAGGTACGTTATGTCAATGGAAACTTTCAATGGATGAATGAATGAATGAGTGAATGAATGAATGAATGAATGAACGAACGAACGAACGAACGAACGAATGAATGAATGAAAACTTATTAACGTGTCTTTAGGAAAATAGCTGACGGGAAAAGTGCCCTCTACTAATGGAAGACACCTACTAACACTATCTAAAATAGATAAATGAAAATAAATTACCTCATAAAGATTTTACAGTTTATATATCTAAAACTTACTACGAAGTGCATATTTTACAATTTTTACAGAGATCAGTGTCAAGAATGTTGGACAGGTCGGCCTTGCGAATGAAGAGTTTAAATTGCTTAGGGATGAGATATTTGTGCTTCAGATGAAAGTTTATTCCATAGTTTAGGTCCTGTATAGCGAAGGGAGTGTTTTCCAAAGGTAACAGTCGAAAATCGGGAGACTGATGGAAGACGTGTTCCTTTACTGCGCTAGAACAGTCTTAAAATAAACAGGGTTTAACAGGGTTAGGCTAAAAGAAGAGGAAACCTTCTTTTTTTTCGTATCAAATATTTTAAAGCCTTTTCAAGGAAAATGATTTGTTTTGGCCCGAAATAGGGTTAGGGATTTGGGACGCATGCCACTCTCCTCACTCGAATTTTCCAGGAGTACTCCTGGGGTAGAAACAAGAGAACCCCGGAGAAAAAACCCAAACATTCGCATGGTTATAAGCACGCCGAGTAACTAATGTAGGCCAAGACACTCAAGCAATACCGTAAGCAACTAAGGGAGAGGGGAAATACTGATCTCGGTACACTATAATAATCATATATGAAGTACCTACCAAAAACCCTTTAAATTCCACTTGATGACCAAAAGGCTCGTGGGCTCACACTAATAGTCTCATGATGCACTTTCTGAACAGCAACGAGTTTAGCGGATGCAGTAAATAAAGTTGGTGAAAAACTGTTTATCATCAATAATTATGAAAGCAAAACTCACGCGCTTCAGTCTTTTTTCCGCCAAGAAACACTTCGCTTGATTCAGCAGTGAAAATTACAATAAAAAGCTTAAAAACGGCCCTTTTAATGTTATTTTTGCCTGTTTATTTTAGGAGCTCAAGCGCCACCCGAATGGAGAGGCACTCTAGACGTCAAATACAACCTTGGACCCGGCTTTGACGGTGACATTACGGTTTCAATGAACGTTAGTAACTACTATGAAGTCAAATCAATCTACAACGTGATTGGAACTATGTATGGCAGCGTCGAACCTGATCGGATCGTTTTGATTGGTAACCATAGAGACTCTTGGGTAAACGGAGCTGTTGATGCTTCTACCGGCACCACAGTGACCACTGAAATTGCTCGCGGGCTCGGAGAACTGAAGGACGCAGGATGGAAGCCACGTCGAACAATTAAGGTAGAAACCAATCTAGTCTGATCCTTTTCATAAGCGGAGGGAGGGGGAGGGGGAGGGGGAGAGAGGGAGGGAGGGAGGGAATTGGGACCGGGGAAAATGCCCTTCTTACCTATACCCCGTCTATCCGTCTTCCTCTGAAGATAATATGATGTAAATGATTTAAATCTTACTCTGGCAACCAATTTTTGACTGGATAATTTACCCCAATTTCGATTTTTATTCTAGTAATGTTGAATCTAGGAAACCGTCTTGTAAGTCTCTTAGAGGTATTTTTAGGTTTACATCATGGCCCCACTTTTGATATTAATTATATTAGTTTTACTAAATACAGTCAGCTCCCTTTACAGCGGATATAATCTCGTACCCAGATCTCCCACGGCCAAGGGAAAGGGAGATCTCCCTTTTCAGTGTAAAACAGAGTGAGATCTGGGTACGAGATTACAGCGGACACTGTAGGGACCTCAAGTTAGTGTCCTCATTAGCAAGAGTCCGTAATAGCGGGAGATTATTTCAGTCAATCATCTGTAATTTTTTTACCGGGGATTTGGCTGCTGTCCGTATTATCGGGGTGTCCATATCGCGGGGTGTCCGCAAGGCGAAAGTTGACTGTGACTGCTGACGGTGTTGTATGGAATTGTACCATGGGATTATTATCGCTTCTTTCACTGGCTATTGCCTGGTCGCGCAGGACGCTGGGTCAAATTTCGTTCCCAAAACAAACCCATACTGCAATTTATCACTGACTGGACCAGGATGGGCTCCTGACTGAACCCAGTCTCCCACCTAACCGCAAATTCCCCAATGACGTGTTCAAACACACTGTTCTTGTAGATTTGCAGCTGGGGTGGTGAGGAATACAGTCTGATCGGGTCAGTGGAATGGGTCGAGCAACATGAAAAGCTTCTCACAGAACGAGCGGTAATCTACATGAACGCAGATACGGCAGTGGCAGGTAACTACAGAATGGAACTTCATTCCTCTCCTCTTGTAAAAGACACTTTGAGGGAATTCAGCAAGACCGTGGAAAGTCCTAACGCGCATGGCGATAAGAAAACCATATATGACCTCACGGCTGAAAGAAGACCTGCCTCACCGAAGACAGATCCCCCTAAGCCGGAAGTGGGAAACTTGGGCTCCGGAAGTGATTATGCTTCTTTTTATCAGTTTATCGGCGTCCCTGCGGCCGACTTCATCTACCTTGGCTACAACAACACGCCGGTTTTCTACCCGACATATCATTCGCAACACGATACGTTCAAATATGTCAAGAAATTCGTTGATCCCGACTTCAAGTTTCACAAGGCTTCAGCACAGCTTATTGGTGGCTTACTTTTGCAGTTTGCCGACTCGCCCCTGTTGAAGATGAGCGTGATGTTGTACGCAGACGCATTAAAGAGTTCTCTGACTGCCCTGAATAAATCTTACGGTGATGATCTGAAGAACCACAAAGTAACAGTGGACCTACTGGAAGGCGCTGTCAAAAAGTTCGAAAGTGCGGCCAAGACTTTCACTGAAGCGAAGTAAGTTTAAGGGACAATCATGTTTTTCTCGAAAAATATTTAAAAGTATTACTGAAGTTTCACAAAGTTCATAATGGTGCCACGATTCCAGGATTCAGGACTACAGCTAAATTTAAGTCGCCCCTACCTTTCTATTTGAGTTTATGACTAGTTTTGGCGTGATGGGTTTTCTCTGGGTTGGATACGGTGATTGGACTCTTAATGCCGTGGAAGCTAGGGTCTCTAGACCAGCGGATACGATGAAACAACCAAACCTAAGGGCGAACCGTAAACACAGGTACTTTCCAACAGGAGTCCGTCGTTTGACCCTTTAAACCCTGAGAGTGATCAGAATCAAATTTCTCCTTGTAATATCAATGCTTTGTAAAACAGAGTGGTCATGAGAATTAGGGACATGATCACGCAAGATGTATTTTCTTGATATTTTATCAACTTCTCCCCACTACTTCTATGGTAAATGAGTAGGGGCGACAAATGAGAATTTTAATTTTGATCTTAGGGTGTACTAATTTTTGTTCCGTATTATTCAATTCGTTAGAGATAAACTGGAGAAGAAACTGAAAGATTTTGACGAACCAAGCTTTGCGGAACTGCGCAGACTCAACGATCGGATGATCAAAGTAGAGCGAGCCTTCATTTATTCCTATGGTCTGCCGGAAAGACGCCTAATCCGTCACGTAATCTTCGCTCCCAGCAAGTATAACCTGTATGGATCTTCCAGTTTCCCCGGCGTGAGTGACGTACTGTTTACACTGAAGGAGACTGGGAACAATCAGGAAGTTGATAAGCAACTGTCCATCGCTACACAGTCTGTTCTCGCGGCAGTCGATATTATCTCTGGCCCTTATTAAGACAGTATGCCCATATTTGGACATTCGACTCCGTAAGAACGTGTAATATCACCATTTTTGGACATCAGACTTGTGAAACATGCGATATTTCCATAACTGGACATTTGATATTGTGTACGAAGGTCTGTTTGTTTTCGCAGCGTGTTCCCCCGACTTTGATATGGGTGTTTTAATTGTAGTGTTCTAAAAACAAGGCGATTTTACACACGACGATTTGGGCCGACGATTTTTTATTGCAACTCAGAGACGTTGTTTCGAGTTGTTACAACATTGTTCCAACCTTGCTGCCCTACAAACCGCCGGTTGCAAATTGTCCTGTATAACATGCTCTAGGAACGTATATAATGTCCAGAATTAGACATCTGAACTGTAAGAACGCGTAGTTTTTGGAAGCTTGTATTTTAGTAAGGTGTTTCATTGTAGTGTAATAGTCATAAATTGCCTTTGTGCGATATTTAATCAAGGGTCTGGTTACTTATTCCACGTCTGGGTACAACCATCCCTCCAATAAGGTTTAACAGACATGGAGTCCGTTTCCAAAGAATACAATTTCTAATAATTAAAAATAGAAACCATTTACCCATAATCCTTTTAGAGGCTACCTTCCGTTATTACCTATCCGCCTTAGCTCTATTACGTACAACCTTAATTTTGAAACAGGAAAATGAGAAATGGAGAGAAAGGATACGATCAGGGTTGGAGCTAGATCCACTGACAAGGCTTGCCAATAATTTAAAAGGACGAAAAAAAAAAATTAATCGCATGTGCCCAAAAACAGTCGTGACTTCAGTAACTGGCATAAGACAACTTTGCGCTGCTTTCTCAGCCAATCAGAAAAGGGCAACCGCATCCATCTAGGCAGCTCGCACTAGTTTTCCCGCGCTTACTACATCAATTTTTGATTGGTTGAATGGATTGATCGTCCGAATTCATTCCCAGGACCTTCTCAAGACTGACCAAATGTTTGAAATTTAGGTAGCAACTTTGAATTTTTGGCAATTTTTTAGCAACTTTTTGGTATTACAGTAAGCACTTATCCAGCATTTTACCAGCATAATCGGGACAGGCTTAATGACCGGGAAGACTGGGAAACCAAGACGACAGAAACGACCGGGATGACTGTGACGATTGAGATAACTTTGAGTCCCGAAGCATCTCCGCCGCTATCAACCGTCGCACGTGAGAAGAAACGACTCGTACCCCGGTTATAGAAGAGACGCGAAGCTTGAGGAAAGAGAGATCAGGTGTCAATTTCAAATGCACCCGCGTGGGCAGCGCGCTTGAAATTATGGGTCGAGCGCGTGACCCTTTGTTTCTTGAGCCCATATCACTTTTAAGATAATTTATAGGAAAAATAAGGACCCAAGCGTTGTCTGAAAACTGAGAAACTAAATTTCAGTCACAGTGTAGAAAATTTAGTGACTTTCCGTGACAATTCAGTGACGGATCCAGCGGAGGGACCTGGAAGCCCCCCCCCCCCTTATTTTTAGACCAAACTGACTCACGAAGGGCTGAAAAAATTTTTTTTTGGTGACCGTCCCCACCCCCCTTACCTAAAGGTCTGGAAGACCATGCCCCCCCTTTATCTCAAGGTTTGGATCAGGCATTGCAATGGTAAAATAAACCTTAACGTTCAAGATCGTAAGCGGCGAAATAAAGGATTTGAATCTTATTCTCTTTTCTCATTGGTTGTGGTAAACATCAAAGACATTACAAGGTTTCCCTTATCTGGCGATTTCAAAGGTACACGTGTATGACCGCCGTCTTTGGCGACCATACACGTGCAAAGAAATGGTGGTATTAGCGAACGATAGTCTAGAAAAGTCTGGATATAACGATATGTTTTAGTTAATCTCATTCCCGCGGAAACAAAACAGCGTAGCCTATATTGCGGACTGAGTTCCCTCCTTCGAGTGCCTTCTGCGTTCTCAAGTCCGAATTTCTCTTTAGCCGTTACCTTTTGAACAAAATCGGGATGAGGACAGTATTTTCAATCAGAACCGCAACCAATCCGCAATCAGGACAAGTGATTAAATAGCTACAAGAGGTTTCCCCTGTTTTGTTTTTACATCGCGTTGTTTTTCCGGTATTTTTTCTTGCTGCACGTACAAACAAGGCAAGAAAAACAAGTGGGATTACGATTAGACTCAAACTATATCCTGAATTCGGTAAGCACTCATGATCATTTTCCCCCTACGTAATGTTAAAAATTGTTGCAGTATAATCAAATCACCTCTAATCTTTCAGTATTTTTTTTAGTACCTATAGCCTTCTCGGGTTAATTGTGAAATTAATAGCGAAGATGATCTCTAAAAAAGAAAAGAAAATGAATAAACAGAAAAGTCATAATACCATTGTTAGGGTCTAAAGGACATCGTTCAGTAAGGATTGTTTACACATGCCATGTATTGAAGATTTTTGGTGGCCAGTTCTAACGCAATTTCGGTATTGTTGCGCTTGGGCTCACAAGAAAAAAATTGTTGGTGTCGCCTAGTAGTGATTTCGGAACCATTGTGGCAAGTGTTTCGAAGATACTGCCCCTTCTTGGCAGCGAGTCTCGAAATGTCATGGCGTAGTAAATAATTAGAGTGGCAAAATTAAAAGGCAGGCTCACTTAAATGGTGCCAATGGCATTTATTTGCGACAAAGGTAAAAGTAAAAAAGAAAGCAAAGTGAATCGCATTCAAATTTGCTGAAATAAACCACGCCAAAAATGGTTGTGCTTGATTCTCTGTATTTTCGTTCATAAAACGATCACTGTCATCAACAAAAAGTGGTCCAGAGTAAAAATGTAATAAAAAGAGATTTTTCCGATTGTATGAAATTGATGATCGAACGCCTGACTGGGTCAGTCCAAATCTAACTTCTCTCGATTAATAACACTAGGTAAAGTTATCCATCCATTCGAGCTTTTCTAGAAAGAAAACTACGGTATTTATCAAGAGCACATACAGTGGAACCTCGATTTAACGAACGCCCAAAGGGCTGACAAAATTTGATCGCTATATAACAAGGTGTTTTTTTCATATATTTTATCAGTGTTATTGGGGTAAAGAAAATCGTTCGTTGTATCGAGGACTTTGTTATATAGAGGCTCGTTATATCGAGGTTCCACTATATCTGCATCGGCGAAGTTTTGTTCCCCGCACTAAAGACTGAAATCTAAATTTGCGGAATTTGTTTTCAAGAAACGCAAAAGTCCGCTTATCCGAATTACTTCTTTTGACGAACATTGGTTAAAATATGGCATAAGGCGATCACATTTGAGTTATATGGTTATCCATCTATCTATTCTGGCTGTTTATTAATTTTGGAACAAACAAATGATTTTAATTTTCTTTAGTTGAGGGTAACAGGTTTAATATCTGTAAAATTTTGTTAGTTGAGGGCAACAGGTTTAATTTCTGTAAAATGTCTTGTATTTTGACTCGCCCTACGAGATCGCCGAAATACGGCGTGACTCGTAACAATATCCCACGATACTACCCACTAATGTATCGGTCAAATCGAAGCTTCAACATGCCCCCCCCCCGGGCAACCCCCCGGGCATTTGACTTTTTTGAAAATTATTGTTCAAATTCCCCCCTACCCGGGCCAAAATGCCCTTCAAAT